GGATTTGTGTGGATATGGATATGTTTAGGGTTATCTTGGGGTCTGGAGAAAAGATTGCTAAAGACAATTGCAGTGGAAGTGGTCGTGGGAATGCATTTGAGTTATAAATTCTACATGGTATTACCTTTCAGGTAAGTAACATTTTGCAAAGCACAGCTAGAGGAGGATAAAGAAGGAAATTAAAATCTGACAGAAAAAAGAGAAGGAAAAGAAATTGAACTAATTATAGCTTACATAAACACAGTTCATACTATAACTCATATGTTTTTATTCTTGCAAACTGTTCTTGTCTCTGTTGATTCACCTCTTTCTACACCCTGATTGCCTTTTGTTCTTTAAACTTCTTGTCGTCTTTTCTGAAGAGCTGAACATGTCATCTACCATAAATTTATTCTGTTCATGGTTCTTCATATATTTTCTTGTGATTTGATTTTTATTCTTTCTCTCTGTATGTCCTAACCATTTCAGGGTTCTTTCATACTGATAATGCACTTCCTACTGTATTTAACTTGTTTATACTGTAGGTTTCTCCTACCATCCCAGTTCTCTTCCATATAGCATTCTTAGAGGCCAATCTATTCACTTTTTTTTTTACACCAGCATTCACTTTCACCTTTTGTAGTTTCATAATTCAAATGATAGCTGTATAATCTCGAAGAGTGTGGATCTGAATATTACTGCATCAAGGAACTATGGGAATTGTTTGGAGTTAACAATTATGCATAACTGGCAAACATCTAGAATGAGTAGATGAATTTGTGTATGTTCATAGAATATTTGCTAAAGATGGGAAATTGGACAGACAAATTTTATGATGTGCAATTGTTGGTACAAAGTTAATGGGTAGGAATGAATGTATGTTTCAAAAAAGTGCAATTAAGTTGGGGTATGCTTCTGCCCAGTTTGTTATATGCAAACAAGAAATGATAAATTCAGTAATGAATGGATGCTTAAAGAATGTAGATTGAATACAAGAGTAACCAGCAGGAGAGAAGTTTATTGAGGGGGCTTGGAATTGAAACACAGATATATGGCGTATGAGTGAATGGATCAAGAGGAAGGTGGAAACCAAGAATATTAAGGTTGGATGGAATTGATGAGATCCTCAAAAAGAAAGTATTACAATAAGCTTAAAGAATAAAAGCCAGTTTGTAAAGTGATGTGTGAGTCTGGTGGACACAAGAATAATTTGCAAGAGCAAAAAGGTATGGAGATGTATACAGTAGCATTATCTAGGTGTAAACTGTATATTTCATTATCTCTGCTTATTATTTCTTATTCCATTACAATTATCATTCTTTCATTAGGTTCTCCAAATGCCCCAATCACTTTTTTGTATTTTTTCATTATATTCTTACCTATCTATTCATATTACCTAAATAGAATAATATTTCCTCTGTATCACAATTATCCAGAATGTTGTTTGTTGTTTCCCAAAATTCATCCCTTCCTGTGATTTTCTATTTTTAGGCACTTGCAACTATAGAGACACCAGTTCATTCTTTCTGAGAAACATTTTAGCCTTTTTATTCATAGTGAAATCAATATTTTTTCATGCATGTTATCAACTCCACAACATCCGACAACTTTCATATTTAAGCCTCTGATATCCTTTCCTTTTCTCTTACTTTCATGTGGACATGTCATTTTTGTAATTGTGGCTTTTATTTTTAGATTTTATCTATTAGCCTTAGGGCTAGAATCTTAGGGCTTTTTTTTCTGATGGTTTTCCTTGGAGGTTGTTTGATTTGTTTTATTTTCAAAGAAAAACATGTGCAATATATGAAATCAGGAAATGTGGGGACTGTCTTTTTTACGTCAAATGGTTTTTAAGTCTCCTCCAAAATCTTTTTGAAAGAAGACTGGGAAGAAGGCGTGAATTACTTAGGGAGGAGCCATCAGCCCTTCTTTCTAACAACTTTCTTGGTTCCTTGGTTGCTTCTTTTGCAGTGAAAAACAATCTAACACCCGCAGTTCCAGGTTAGAGATTGATACTGGACCATCTCTGGAGGAACTGCTCCCTGAACCCACTAGCAGGTAGGAGAAGTGTGGCGGGTAGACCACATCCAAATTCTCAGTGCTGTGTGATAGTGACTGATACTACCTCTATGATTGTTGCCTGCTGCCCCAAAGAGGGCTTGCCTTGGGACTGGATCTTTCTCTTAAGCAGATGTTCTCTCTGCCTCTCTCATATTTTAGGCTGCGTGTCAATTCAGATGTGAGTCGCCAGCGTGGAGGAAGCAGCCCTATTCGCAAGTTGGCATCACCGTTCATGGATGGGGGCCGCCTGCCTTTTCCCATCCTACAACCAACCCAGGCCAAGACCTTTCACCCTGTTGAGAGGTGAGAGCGTTGAAGGGGAGGGCACGAATGTGCATTGGCATGTGCTGGATCAATTAGATGGGAGGGACATTTAGAGGTGGCTTTTATATTACCTAGTCCTAGACAATGCCAAATAATATTTGGGAAGTATTTCATTTCTGCTTTGATAGAGTCCAAAAGAAGCATCTGCATTAGATGGGACAGGAGAAAAATAGACAATATCTTTGTGGTTTGGGATATAATTAAATGGGGAGATTCTAATTTTGAATGCTCTCTTTTAATAAATCACAGGTCTCCCATTTCAAATGCTTTGATTGATAAATAAAACAAACAAACAAACAAACAAACAAACAAACAAACAAACTTACAAGCAAGCAGAGCATCCAATTCGGAATGCTCCCTTATAATAAGTAAGTAAATAAATAAATAGAAAGCAAGCAAAACAAGCATTATAAAGCAGAGGCAGGTCATATGTTCTTCTTAATGCAGCTGAGTGTTTTCCATGATACAAAGTCTGGCTAGAAAAAAAAATAGCTGAAGTGGCGTTTCAAAAGAATGTTGTCAATGCAGACAGAATAAGGTTGGCAGAGGAATGAAGAGAACAAATGGACATGAAGGGAGATGCCTGATGTTGATCACTGCTCTATTACTGAAATGTGTGTTTTCCATAGGCTTTTCCAACAGGTACTTGATAGTTAGCAGTAACTGTCATAGGAATGACTATTCCCAGTTGCAGGATTTGATAAATTGTGTCCACAAGGCTCTCTGCAGGGCATTTTCTTCTCTATCAAATGTCCTTTTCAACCAGCACTTGGAAAATGCTAACATAATATAAACTAAGATAATCGAGAGGGATGGATAACTGAAAAAAACCCCCACAAGGGATAGAATATTAATGATATACTTAAGAAGTCCATATGCAGTCTTATGTTTCATATACTCTTTGGTGCTCTTTGTTTTTCCCCAGGCCAGACCGCTGGAACGAAGTTTCTCCACGGACCTGGGCTGGCAATAATTTTGAGAGACAGGGACCAGTGGAGAAACGGGTAGAGGTAGACCGAGTAAGAGCCTTCCCATTTTTTTCTCCCCTTTCTGGTTTTTCCTCCCTCTCTTGCTCCCTTCACCATATCTTCTCTTTTTCCATTGATAGGAGGTGGCCAGGAATATGGATTCTGTGTTCAAAGAACTTCTTGGGAAAACTACTCTGAAGCACACAGGGATTTGTGACCCTCCCAATCATTCTGAACCCCCAAAGAGCAATTCTTTGGCTAAGAAGGGTATCGCCCCTGCCAAGCCAGCCTCTTCAAACAGGGCGCTTCTGCGGGGCAAAGGGGTCTTCAAGTCTTTGGGAAATGGAGAGTGAGTCAAACATGACATGGGGAAAAGAACCCCCAGTATGACTTGCCCAATACTGTGGCTACCCTCCTCCTCCTCTTCCTTCCTGTTCCGGATACCAACTCAGGGCAGTTGTGTCTTGCTCTCTCCTGGTGGGGGGTGGGAAGGGGGGGTGATGTAAGATTATCAGCATTTGTGTTCCGACTTCCAAGCCAAATGTTGAAGATGCATTTGCTGTTGGGCGTCTTCCTGCACTGGAGGTGCATCTGAAGGATTTCATGTTGTGGATGTGACTGGGGCTAAAACATACAGCTCCCATCAGGATGGTCCTGGACCCAACACCCAGACCAGTTGTTCCTTTGTCACAAATAGTTTGCACTTGGATCTTCATGTGGAAGGGATGCATGTGGGAGGGAATGTGCCAAGATTCCTGGACTTTGTTCTTGGCCTTGGGAAGGGAATCATGTCTAGTGAGTTATGGTGCCAGAGGTTGAAAAGGAGGGCATTGTTTTGTACGTGTGTTATTCTCTTCCTGACGTGCTTCACACTAAGCCCTCACCACCTCTCCTTCCTTCCTCGGCTCTCAACCCCGGCAATGTATCTCTTGTTGCTTTAAACATTTGTCTGAATTTAAAATTCTTTCCACACATGCTACTTGGTACAGCCTCATCCAACCCTGCACGCATCACCCTCCTACATTGGGGCAATAAGTAAGGGGACATATTTGTGGTGGGGACCCATGTGCCAATTTTTCCCTCATCATCCAAGGTCCAGTTTGTCTGCCCCCCCTCCCCCACCTTCTACTCCCACATCATCTTTTGTCTTTACTGCTCAGTATTAATCAGGGCTGCATGTACTCTGTGCTTTAAAATGCTGTGCAAAGTCAAGCTGAATTCTGCAACCTGTGTAAAGTATGCAACTTAAACTTGTAGAGATTCTCTTCCATAATTTATGTTGCCAATCTGACAACTGGAAATCTGACTTACGGCACCCTCGTGGTTCCAAACTTTCAGCAGGAAATTAAAACCACACTTTTGAGCATCACTTTATAGACATAAGGGCTAGAAACCTGCTCTTTTATATATATAAAAATTTTATATATATATAATTTTTTTTCACATTCTCAGGAAGCAGAATTCTGTGCCCAATGCCGCATCCTGTGAATTTCTTTGCAATTACAGCATATGTACAGCCCTGGTATTAGCTTGTCATTAACAAAAATGACTGTACTGTGATCTTTCTATACAGTCTGTTGATTTCTGTCTCTTGCAATAAACTGGATTTATAAACTCTCCACAGAAAGCGCCTGCCAGTCAGGATTTTATAAAGAATAAACAAGACACTGAAGGATTTGCTTGGGTTTTATTGTCATAAAATGCAAAATATCTTTTATAATTTTAGAAAATTGTCAGTGTTTGTTTCAAAGCAGCAATTGGCATTGAGATTTAAGAAAGAACAGCACTGATTGAGTAATTTTGTGTCCACAAACTGATTTCAAAGAAAGCTACCACAGTGATGACATGAAATGGGTTGGCTGAAACCGTAATGTAGTGAGTGTCAAGGGAGAGAGATTGAGATATAATATGTAAGGCTTTAGTGCTGTACTCAAAGCATCTCTGAAATGGCTTCCTAGGACCTAGGACAATATATCATCTTGTTCCAATTTAAGGCAGTATTGGAATTTTGTATTCCAGATATGATAGCTTTAATCCCATTGGCTGCCTCAATGTACTGTGGAATGGCAACTCAAAGCATCCTGCAGCCAGGCTGCGGGAAGATGCTGGACACTGCAATTGTAGCACATCTAGAAGGTGCCAGAATTGGGAGGCTATGATGCTGAAATGACCCACAGGTCAAATGCTTGGCCATGGCAAGTTGGCTGTGGTGAATTGGCTGTGGTGAATTGTCCCATTCTGCTAGAAAGCCTTGCTATACAAAACTCCTGCACAGTTACTTATTTTACAAGAGGGCTTGTACAGAAGAACTTGCCACTATGTTGTGATAAGTGTGTGTGTGAGAGGGGGAGAGAGAGAGAGAGATGGGGAGGGGGAATTTAGAGCAGTGTTTCTCAATCTTTGCAACTTTAAGATGTGTGGACTTCTTGGAGTGGGAGTACGGATGGCTGGCTGGGGAATTCTGGGAATTGAAATCCAGACATCTTAAAGCTGCCAGGGTTGAGGAACACTGATTTAGGGTGACAGGTTTTTTGTTTGTTTGTTTGTTTTTCCCACCTTAATCAAAAAAAAAGGTGGAGTAATTTCTTGGGGGCAAGGAATTCAAGCTAAAGATCCATCAGCCAGATCGTTTCCGCCTCCATCAGTTGACTGACTCAGGATTCCAGCTGAGGTACTGTCCCATCTGAGTGGGTCAAGTGGAGGAAAAATGAAGCCAGAATCCTGTCCTGATCCAAAGGAGAGGCCTCAGTCCTTCGCATGTTCCTTGCGCAGGGCCACTCGGACATCGCTGCAAACTTTTCCCACTGCTTCAAAGAGAGGGTCGCAGAAGGTACGTATGCACAAGGCATAGCAGCGCCCACAGCACTGCACCTCTATGAAGTAGCTCTTGATGCAAGGCATGGCCCCCCAGATGTGGCAGAAAGAAACACAGGCAAAGAGGAAGCCCCAGAGCAAGGCAAGGGGCAGGCCCAGCACCCCCGATAGAATCCGGTAGCACCAGTACTTGCTGACAGTAAAAGTGGTGTTGCTCGCCTTCCACACTCCATCAAAGCTGTGGGTGCCCTCTGGCTCAGCGATCACATCTTCAAAGTCTACCTGGCAAGGTAGGAAGAGAGGTTGTGAGTTGTCCAAAGCTTTGTTTCAGTCAGGAGGATTTGTGTGTGTGTGAAAAAGAGAGAGTTATTTGTGTGCGCATGAGAGAGAGAAATTGTTAATGCTAAAACTATTGAATCCTAGGGCTGGAAGGGAGGACGTCTGGTCTAATACCTTATCCAAGGTACCAATTCTAACACTATCCCAGACTTCCACATCTAAATCTCTTCCATCATTGGTAGCAATTTTTCTGCTGCTAGTTAACCACAACATATTTTAGACATCTTGAATGCTAAAATATTTTTTCTAGTTATAGGGAAGTTCAGCTAATGATTTTATTGATTGATTGATTGATTGATTCGATTTATGTGCTGCCCTTCTCCGGAGACTCAGGCGGCTTACAATGCATTAAGCAATAGCCTTCATACTTTTGTATATACCTGCTTAGTAGGGCTTTCAGGGCCCCCTAAGCGGTGTTCTTTTATATACAAAGTCAGCTTATTGCCCCCACAATCCGGGTCCTCATTTTACCTACCTTGGAAGGATGGAAGGCTGAGTCAACCTTGAGCCTGGTGAAATTCGAACTTGCAGTAATTGCAGGCAGCTGGCAGCTAAGTGCTACTTAACAGCACTTTAGTCCCCTGCACCACCAAGGCTCTTTATATGATGACCAGTTATTATACCGGGTATGATTTGGAACAAGGATTTCCCTCATTGGGGGGGGTGGGGCTGTTATTCTTTTCCCTGAATCTGAGTTCCTAAACATATTCAGAATTTGCTTCTGGTGAAAACCTGTATTAAACTCGGCGAAAGGTTGCTGTGATTGGAGAAGAGCTAACCTCCACCTCGTCTGCTTTTCTCTGTACTGAGCTGAGCTTTCAAAGAATTATTGAATTATTTTCCTTATGAAAAAGTCGGCTCGAGTTCTGCTATATGTGTTTATTTGCAGCCTGTAATTCTCGAATGGATGTAATACCACCTGATATTCAAATTGCAATCATGCATTTAAAGGGGGGGGGGTAGATCATCAGCAGGATTCTACACATTTCCATAACTAATAAATGGAAAAAACTACCAGGAAGAGAGCAGTTAATTTGCATAGCTTTCCTACACACTATTCTGAGTCTTCATTTAGACAATCCCAGCCTATTTTTCACCTCCAATCTTCAGAGCAACTTCCTTGCCTTTTGGAGCTGTCGCTGTTGAAATATGAATTTTGGAAGTGCCCCTTGTGGAGTAAAGAGCAGGTGAGTGACTGCCTCAGCAGGGGGTGATTTCCCAGGAACACTGTCTCAAGAAAGTTTTCCAGAACAGGCCTCATTGAAAGAATTGCAAAATCAGGGCAGGGCAGATATTAGCAGGCAGGGGATGGATTTATTATTCGTCTCAAGAACCAAAATATTTAGTTCTTTGGAAATTAAGCATGATCGAGGACAAATTGGAGTCACTGTGATGGTTTACATTATGCTTTGTTTTTAATTGTTGGCGGATATCCTGATTTTATCAAGAAGGACAGGCTAGAAGTGGTTTTGCATTATAAGCAAAAATCCAAGTTAAAAGCTAGGAGCAAAGTTCAATTCTTCTCCCATTGTGCAAAGGATTAGAACAGCATTTCCCAACCTCAGTATCTTTAAGCTGTGTAAATTTAAACTTCCAGAATTCCCTTGGCCAGCATGGGGAGTTGAAGTCTACCCAGCTTAAAAGTTGCTGAGGTTGAGAAACACTGAATTAGAACACTGCTATAGTATATGATTAGTCTTAGGCTGATTATCCCTTCCCAAGTGTCATTTTTTAATGTTATCTTTACTCCATAATCCTTTTTAGAACCTTCTTAGCTTTCTTGCAAAGTGAGCTAATCAGCAAAACATTGAATTAGAGAGAATTACTTTGGCCTTGATTAACTTTGGGAAGTAAAAACTGCCATTAGATACCCAGAAAAAAAGGAAGGTATGGGAAGAAGAGGTCCTATTTTTTTCTCTCCCCCCCCTCCTCTTTAGCTATTTAGGTGAATAATTGCAGAACATTAATCATTAAAAAGGAAATTGTCACATATAATACCCACAAGGATTCTGTGTTTAAGCTTTTATTTGCAGAGGGAGCTAATTTTACAGGCTCCTTAGAAAATTTCAAGGAGAGAATGGTCTAAAAGGAAACAAGCCTGTTTGAACCTATTTGGTATTTTGAGAGCATGTTTTGGTCCACCTCACAAAATGGCTGCCACAGGGCTGTTGCCTATTCACAAAATGGTGATTTTGTAGGTGTGAAATGTAACAATTCCTGTTCATAAGAAACAAAGATGCTGAGATTACTATGCATCTTTCTCTAGATCCCCATAAATTTCCCATTGTCACTCCTAGTTGATCATAGTGGGTTGATTGTTGTTATATCTTTTTTCTTTTTGGACAAAAAAACTATAATTTAGAGGCACCAGCTGTTTCTATTTTCTAAAAATGCCTATATAAACCCAAAGGGACTCATAGAGATGGAATTTGGCCAGCTTATTTTTCAGCACAGCATCAGATGTTTATGCCTGATGGAGTGTCTTTGAAATCCTTCATTTGAAGCACTGAGACAGTAGCCCAAGGAAAGAGATATCTTACACCAGGTTTTCTCAACGTTGGTGACTTTTAGATATGTGGACTTCAACTCCCAAAATTCAGCATGGCTGGCTGGCTGGTGAATTCTGGGAATTGAAGTCTGCATACCTTAAAGTTGCTAAAATAGAGAACCGCTGTGTTTCACTAAGACTAGGGTACAACAAGTACTCTGGCGGCTGGGGATAAAGTCATATCACAGCTTCTCTAAAAGAAGCTACTTTGAAGATCAATTTGGGGTAAGTCATATTCTCTTGGCCTAATGAACAACACACAGAAATTACAGCATAAACTTTATCTGTACAAAGATATGAATCTAGCTCAGTTTTCAGTATAATGGCAAAGTAAATATATTCTCTAAAAAGAGGAACGGGTCAAGGACTCAGTTTTTCCTTAAAATTAATTACGGTAATTATATTAGTAGAGAATGGAATGGTGACCCTCAGTTCCACTTCCCCATATTCTGCTAAACTTAATGAAGAGAAAAGTCCATTCCCTCTCCTCCATTCATGCTTCTCAATGGCATTGACTGCTAAAAGTCCTGCTTCGGTGATGCTTGGAAGAAATTCTGAGGAATATGCAGTTGAGACTTCTAAAAAAGTTGCCCTTTTTGTGACTTTATTAATTGTTTTTAAATTATTTTAGCCCTGTGTTTATTAATAATAAAGCTTTTTATTAAGGATTGCAAGAAAAATGATGTTGTTCTACTCAGCCGCTACATATAAATTGGATGTTCCTGTTTTTCACAAGACTGCCTTTATCATGTGCCACTAGAGGGGGCTATTGCGCTGTTTTGTTTCTTGGCTTCCTCAAAGCTTCCAGGTTGGATGAAGAGTGCTGGACCTTGAAGTTGATCTGAAGCACCCCGGGCTCTTCAGACATTCTTGTGAGAGCCCCAGAAGTGCATGGTGCCAGCCACACCTTTTTACCTAGACATCTCACCCTCTTTTCTCTCTCTGTTCAATTCCACACTATCTTTTCTACTTTTTCTTTCCCAATCTTTCTAACATTTCTAAAACCAATCATTGCCTGGCAAGTAAGAAGGGTGGGGGGTGGGGGGTCCTTTGTGACTTGGCTTTCAGGAAAGTGTTTCCATAAAAAAAAAAAAAGGAGTCTGAAACCCACCTAGGAAGCCCTGAGGACTCAATGTGGCTGCTCCTGATTACCTTTCATCCCTTGCTACCTTTGTCATTGCTCCTTTTCCTGTTCCTCCATTTCATTGTGGCCAGCTTGATTTTACTCAATACGATTATAATATAGCTCAATACCCAGAGTTCATACAATGTGCTAAGTTCCGAAAGCAATGAATTAAAACTGTAAAATTAAACCACAAACAACTAGCTTTTAAAAATAATACATTCCTTGGGAAGCAACCACTCTTTTTGGAGGTGGGAGGAGGGGAGAGAGAACATAGATTTATGCAGTACATTGTGTGAAGAATAAAATTCTTAGCTTGGAGAAGTGGAAGCACCCTTCCGTTTATCTCCTCTATATCTAGAGTGATATATGCAACCCCAACAACTTTGCAGGAACATTCTCTCTATACCATGCATTCACCCTATGTAGTTTATATTATTGTAGAGGGAGGGTAGGGAATACGACTTTGGAGAAAATACGCAGGAACCCCTATTACCTTTCCTAGGCAAATGGGACCAATAAACAATAAAAGTATTTATTCTGTTATTCTCTGTTAAATCCAGATCTACAAGATAACATTTAGGTAGGCAGACCGGTCTCTGATTCAATGAACTACAAGGAGGAGGGACAGCACAATCAAACTTGCCAGATTCTGTTACTATACCCAGTCTCAACAAAAATACAGAAGTTTTTTTGCCTCTCTGTGGAACTGATTGATATCCTAATCTGGTCTATCTAGTGAGGCTGACTCCTTGTTTCTTCTTTTCAATCTGAAGGGAACTTTGCGAGAAGAATAGTTCTATGCTGCTGCCGCCGCCACTTTTTAGTCCCATGCCCTGGGAGATGTGCTCACCTTGACCACCTCTTGGTTGATCTGCTTGGGGTCTCTTTCCACCAAATCAATCTCTTTGGTGAGAGGGTCCCGGGAGTCGATCTTCTCCAGAATCACATCTACTACTTCTTGTTCTTCTTGTTGGGCCATAGCTCTGGGCCTGTTTCCTATTCAGGATCTGTCTGTCTCTGTAAAGCAGCCACCAGTTGTCTCTGACTGTCAGGGAAGAATGGCCTCTCCCTTATTGCTGCCCTCCTCCCTTTTCCGTCTTGATAACTCTTGACAGCAGTTCATAGATAGAAATAGTCCCCATCGGAGCCAGAATACAGCTCCCTTTCAATCAAGACTCAGTTGTTTTTTTAGCTAGCCTGAATAATTAGCAGTCTAGGTAGTCTTTTCACCTTTGTTTTAAAAAAATCAACTCACTGCACATAATAATAGAACATTGTAGATAAATCAGCTTTTTGAAATGAAATTTAAATGTATTGGTTACCCGTTTCTCAGTCTGGATTGTGTACATCTCATTAAAAATAATAACCAGTTGGAGGAAAAATAATTAGGTTCTTTGAAAGGACACAGACAGATTTTCAGAGTGGTGAAATTGGGAATATAAATGCCTTTTTTCAAAGACATGAATTTATTTGTGTTGCCGTGCTATTGTCACTACTCAAAGGAGTTTCTGAAGCCCTGCACAAATCTGCAACAAACAAAATTCAGTGACTTGAGATAATGGCAAGATAAGCATAGGCACCAAGGTTCAGCAATACATATCTTATTAATATATACTATGTTACGGCTTTGTTTCCAAAAAAGGCTCTTGTTTTACACCAGCTCTAGGACAGATTCCGTTTGGAGGTCAAAATGACTTTTGTTGACAATAGTTGAAGATGGGATATCTCTATCCAGAAGCTCAGTTTCTACAGGCTGAAAATAAATAGCAAAAGCATTTGGTCTTAGAAAATTATCTGGGTGTTGTAATGGGGGGGAAAGTACTCTGAGGGCTCTCTGACCATGGTTGTTTTCTTGCATCTGCTTCATTACTCAAACTAGGTAACACCATCAGTGCTAAACCCTCATTTCAACCCCGAGCTACAAATACTCTCCTTCATTACTAAAAAGTACCCTGTGAGTTCAGTGGTATTGAACTCAAAAATAGATTCAGTTCAAGTTGAAGAGACATTGCTCAGCTATTACTTACTTGCAAGTGAATTTTAAAAAAAAAAGGAAAGATGTGCAGAAGTTTATTCAGCTCAACCATTGCTATAAGATTTTCATAAGGATTGTACTCATGACCCATAAGAAAGTGTAGCATCCAGTTGTGGGAGGCTTAAACTTCAATCAAACTTCACAAAATTGGGTGAATATGATGGGGTAAGTTATTTAACCCATTCCTCCTCTAGTCATTCATTAATTGCTTACACAGTTTGTTTAGCCAGGTCAGGTGAATACTTTGTGGCTGCACTGATGCAACATACCAAGTTTGGTTAATGTTAACATTGATTAGTATAATTTTCTGTTTCAGTGGATTGTGTGAATCCAATCAATAGGATGGAAACTAAAAAAATAATGACCAGTTGAAATGAGTTGTGTGAATGCAGCCTCTATAGTTGTAGACAAAACCCCTCCCTTCCGCCCCTCCCCTGGGAAGTAATATAGAGTAGTATGCAGAGAACTGAACAACAGTTTCATTTTGGCCACAATCATTCCTGCTGGATGGTCATTCACAAATCATCCCTCTTAGTAGAAGCATTAACAACATTCACCCACTGGTGCTAATTAGATAGGTTGGTTGTTATAGAAACAGCTAGTACATATCATGATATAATTATCTTGGAGTATGAGCTTAGTTCAGCCATAAATGAATGCTAACAGATGCAGTATGTTTGAAGCAAAAGCTAGATTTTTGAAGAAATGCATAAAAGGCAAAGTTTTAAATACATCTTGAAGAGGGAGAGAGTAGAAGAGAGAGGTTAGGGGAAGGAACTCTCAAACAGAGACTCATTTAACTTAGAATAGGTACAGTGAGAAACAAACACAACAGATAATTGTCAAATCCTTTCCCCTCACCTAGCCCTGCCATTTGATTAAAAAGTCTCTTGGGTGTGAAAAGATGATACAATCTCTGACACCCACAAACAACAGGTTTTCACCCAGCACTAAACAAAGCAATGGCACTTTAAATAAGTACAGCTGTAACTCACATCCCTATGTACTGTAGTTAAGTTTAGCAGCCACTGGTCATTTCTAGAGAGGGTACAGGACTCCCCTGCCAGGATGGCAAGAGAAAAATCACAGGGTGGGGTGTCCCCCGCGTGCAGCTGACTCTGGCATCAGCAGCACTATGGCCACCTGCCAGCCCAGTGCCACGCTTGAGAAAGAGAAATATGTGCCTGTAACATTACTCCTGCTGCATGAGTGCACGGAGCTACTTTGCTGCCAGCCAGAGCTTTAGGAGACACCGTCATGATGGGCACCAGCAGCTGTAAGCTGTACCATCCCCAGGGCAGTAGGCAGAGGAAATGGGGCATGTTAAGGTGTGGTCTTATCATGGAGATGTATGTGTACGTGTGTGTCTGATTGGCTGGTATTAGGCAGAGAACAGAGGCAGTAAATCTAAGGCACATGTAAATGGGCAAGTACCAGGCTTCATTTTGTATAAATTCTGCTGCCATGAGCTTCTATTTCAGCCCCAGCCCTGTCACTGCTGCCAAGGAGTGCAACTGTGCAGGGTGGCCAAAAGGCCATAGATGGGGGGAAGATAGATGAGTGGGGGGAGCTGAAGTGCCTCAGCAGTTGTAAGTGGCAGCCCGCAGCCCAGGTACCTGAATTGTGATCATGTGATTGGAGGGGGAGCACTTCAATGGTCATAACTTCAAGGACCAGTTGTAACTCACTTTTTTCAGTGCTATTATAACGTCAAGCGGTAGCTGAATGAATGGTCATATATCGAGGACTACCTGTAAAGTTTAATTCTTGGCAGCTGTATTGCAGGACAATCTAAGGGCAAAAATTTGAGGATTACCCTGGCTTCACTTCCTCTTCCTCCCATAGTTGTCAGCCTATGGAATAACTAGCCTTAACTATATTACTTAATGTGTGATGGTGTAGTCTTGGTGTGGAGAGGAGGGGTGCCTGGTCTGAGGGATTTAGCCCCTTTCAAGTTGCCAGAATGATAGGTTGCTGATGTGAAGGTGCCCTGCGTTGGGTAACTGAACTGTATCTCAACATGGTTACATGACTTATCTTGGAAGTCCAGGAAACTTATGTCCCAATTGCTTGGCAGGGAAATTGTGGGGTGCAGAGGTAGAGTTCAGACTGAAGCAAGAATAGATCATATGGTATATCAGGAAAACTCGCTCCACTCTTCCTAATTTGTCAGCCGGGCTATTGTTGGGCATATATTTAATTGAACTGCATTCAGAAACAACCGAGTGACAGGTCCCAGGCACAGCACAGAAGCTGCCAGGAGCACTGAGGAATGTCTCATCCAGACCTCACCCTTTCCCTGCATCTGTGATCTGTCATTTAAGCTACGACAGGAAATTGGCAGAATTCTGGTCAGTTTCATCCTAGATCTCAAATACTGTAGATGATTGTTGTATGTAAAGGAATGGCAGCTAGTAACTTGCAGCTGTAACCAGCAGTTTCTGGAAGTATTCTGGTGAACAGTAGAAATGCTTCTGGCATAGGCAAGAGGGTGTCCCACATATAATAAAAACAGTAGTGATAGTGGTCACTTACTGACCAGAATAGGGTCTGGCAATTCTGTAGTTAAGCGGTGCAGTTGTTAAACATGATGATATGCAACCACACCAACTTAGTAAGTCCTGTCAATTCTGGCTGCAGTTGTTAAGTGAATCATCATGGGTCATTAAGTGCAATGTTATATGACTCTGGCTTGCAGCTTCCTGCTGGCTTCTCCATTGATTTTGTCGGAATCCAGCTGTGAAGGTTTTACATGATGATCCCGTAACTGCAGAATGCTCTGACCATTTAAATGTGAGCTGGTCACCAACTGTCTGAATCACGATCACCTGGCCATGGAATGCAATGGCTGTAACTTCAATGACTAGTCATAGGTCTCAATTTTCAGCCCTGTCATAACTTTGGTCACTGAATGAGTGGTTGATAAGTGAGGACTACCTGTAGAAAGCATTCACCTTGCACAGCTGGCAAAAGCCAACTCTCCCAGTACATTGACCTCCAGGAAGAGAGTGCTAATTCTGTGTTTTAAACTTAGATCTATTGCTCTTTTGAAAGATCACTAAGTATATTATATACAAACTGTTCCAGAAGAACGCAAGGCTCATGTCCATCTGGAAAGTACATAATGCATGAAAGGTCTTGTTGGATGTCCCACTGGAACTGGGTACCTGATCTCTTCACTAGCCCAAGCCAAATCGCCCTGAAAGGCAAGGCCCAGTGCCCAGAAGTGCTAGGCTGTTCCCATAATAACTAAAGGAGAAAAGGAAAAGCATTAGTTTGAACCAAAACAGTGAAAGAGGAATGTAAGCCTGTAGTAGATGAATTGTAGCAACAATTAATGGGGTATCTTTGTGCCATGGAATATGAATGTTTGCCACAAAACAAATCAGGCAGAAAGGAAACTAAGCAATAGTTTATTGTTGTTCACTCTACAGGGGTGGAGATTTAACATATTAATTCCAGTTATTTCGAATAGGAGAGGGGCTGAAGTGAATCATCTCTCCATGGCAATTTGTTCTGTCAGAGGCATTGTGGGTTTGGAAGCATTTCCTTTGCAAACCCCACTCCTACAATATGTCACATTAGTGGAATTTATCCCACCCGATGGCCTCCGGAATGGTGGGATGACAACTGGTAAGAGGACATTAGATTCGGAATGGCCTAGTTGGAGTGCCATTGCCTATCTGCTATCCTGATCTTTTCCTAATGTGGATATGTGTGACATGGATTGGAGAGTCACTGAGGGATAAGAATTGAGGATTGGATACAGGTCAAATCTTGGGAGAATTTAGAAGGAATCTTCTGGACACTCTGAGAAATGGTGGAACTTGGAGCAGAGAAGGCTTTGGCTGGCCACAAAATACCATTTTATCAGAGAGCAAACTGGGGAAGCTATTTCCTAATCACCTTCTCTAGCTTCATAAAATATTGATTACCATACCTGTTGGCTTTTGCCTTTTGGGGGGTGGGGGGGGGGGAAGAGAAGGGGCATACTTCAAAGAAAGCTATGGCCTGAAAGCACTCACTATATTTACTTTCTCACAATGCCTGTGTGAGTCCTGGAGGAATAAAGACAATGCTAAGGGGGGTGCTTTGCTTTGCCCACTTTCCATTGGACTTTTTTTTGAATTAGAAAAATGGGGGGGGGGATGTTGACAAAATAAGGTGATTGCTAAGGGAGAACTTCCCAGGTATACAAAGATTTTTTATGCCATAGGAATTACATAGCCTACTTCTGCCTTACAAAAGGACATGCATGGGGGCTTGGGGAAAGGACTTTCCTATTTTAGTCTCCAAATGGAAAGAGTAGAGAAAGCATCATTCTGAAGCCCTGTTTGCAAATTTGGGCAAAGGAGAGGGGTTTGGAGAAGAAAAGGGGGAAAGAAGCATTTGGGAGTCTACCCTGCCATTGATTCTCCAAAGGACTCCCTTTCCATTCTTTTTCCCTGTCATTCCCCACCACCACTCAAGTCCCATATTGGTTAAAAAAGTCCCTTGGTCAGTCCTTCTGGAAATTGAATGTATTCAGTGGGTTGTATAATGAGGAGTCAGTGCAGTATGGATCTTGATGGAAGAATATCCCTGTATCACTTTTGAGTTACTGTAAGGTAGATGGCACTGCAGCAGCGTCCCAGGCTAGTGAAAAGAGGGGCTATCAAAACATCCAGGATGCTAGCCCAGAGGGTACGAACTGGAGGCATGGCCATTGTACACAGCTGGATGCAAGGCATCACACACCTGTTGTGGGAAGAAGAAGAAGGACGGAGAAAAAAGGTTGGCCTTCTAGATAAACCTTCCTCATTCTTCCTTAATTTATACTTCAGTAAGACAAGCAGTTGTTTGACTGAATCTATATCCTGCTTTTCTGCAATGCATCAGATACCCTGTTTCCCCTAAAATAAGACATCCCCTGATAATAACCCCACTAGGGCTTTTGAGAGCATGTGCTAAAATAAGCCTCCCCCGAAAATAAGCCCTCCCCAAAAATATTTAAATGTATGTGCAGCTGGTCCCTGCCATTTCCTCTGGTTAGGGTTAGGGAGACAGAGCTGGAAATCAGGTAAGACTGCAAGAGGAGCCCCGTCTTGCTCCATGTGCCCCAAAATAATAAGACCTCCCCGAAAATAAGGCCAAGTGCTTATTTCAGGGTTCAAAAAAATATAAGACAGGGTCTTATTTTCGGGGAAACACAGTAGCTAATAACAATTATAATGAAAATGAAAAGACAACACAAAAATAAGACATATGCTCCAAATTATGAAAATTCTATTAAAACACCATTAAAGGTATGTGAACAATTCAGACAAGTAATAAATGAACTTGTACAATTAATATGGAGCTAGTTTGATCTAGTGCAAGGGTGTCAAATTCGCGGCCCATGGGCCAGATACGTTACACACTGGCCATGCCTACCCCTGGTTTAGCGAAAGGATAAAAAATGTGATACGTCACGTGACAACAACGTGCCATCGCGGATTTGACACCCCTGATCTAGTGGTTAAGCCGTAGTCTAGAAACTGAGACACTGAGTTCTAGTCCTGTCTTAGCCATGAAAGCCAGCTGGGTTACTTCAGGCCAGTCCCTCTCTCTCAGCCCAACCCACAAGGCTGCTGTAGAGAAAATAGGAGGAAGGAGTATTAGATATTCACCACTTCAGTTATTTATAAAAAAATAAAGGCAGGATCTAAAAAACAATCTTAAAAAATGGATAACAAGGAAGGAGTTGGCCCTGACATCCTTGCAGGAATACTCAAGCTTGAGAGTGACACCTGAGAAGGCCCATCTTATCTTCCTACTACTTAAATTAACCAAATAGATCAGGGGTGTCAAGCTCAAGGCTGGATCTGGCCCGTGGGGTGCTTGGATCTGGCCCGCGGGGCCACCCTGGAAACAGCGAAGGACCAGCCCGTGGTGCCTCTGCCTGTGAAAACAGAGCTTTTCACTGGCAGAGGGTTGCAGGAGGCCATTGTAGCCGAAAACAGAGCTTGGGAGCTCATTTTCACTGGCAAAGCACTCGGACCACCACAGGCACCCCCGACACAAGTGACATCGAGCTGGCACCCCACCTTGGCCACACCCACCCTGGCCCCCCGAGGTCAAACACAACTCTGATGCAACCCTCAATGAAATCGAGTTTGACACCCCTGAAATAGATCAATTAAGCCTACCATTTAAATTGTTTTGGACATTATTTTCCATTATATAACATTTTAGAACTAGTATTTAGTACTAGTGCTAAATTTATTTTGTATTTCGCACAACCATAACATTTTCTATTTTGATTGTATTTTTTTGATTTTCATATTACAGAATATGAAATTTCTTACAGAAATTGTTACATTATCATAAAGAAGGTTTGTTTATAATTTACCTTCTAAAATTCTGTTTTCCGGATACAATGAGGTTTTCTATCCAGAACAAACAGATATATTTTCTTCCATGTAATTACTCAATTTATATTACTAAAGTCCTCATTTGTTTCAGGATTATGATTTTTTTTCTGACTAACTTTGGTGACAACTTTGGAGTTGCTGTTTTTCCCGAATACTCTGAATGTTTGCATTATTCTTATGGCAACAGTACCATAAGAAGTTGATATTGTAAAGCATACTGGAAAAATGCAAAGCAGACATTGAAATTAGAAGTGTTGCTGACTCATTTCTTCTTTTGTAATAGTCTAATTCCTCAGAATGCCTTAATTACACACTGGCTACACCTTGTCTGCCCTCCAGTGACAAAGTCCTCTACTTAAGGGAAATGGTGACAAACATTTCAAGTTTATACCAAATGCATTCACAATTCAATCCAAGATAATGTTATACATATATTTGTGTGCGTGCCCATGCCAGCATGGTGTAGTAGTTAAGTTCCTGGAGTAGGAGTAGGAAGACCCATGTGCTTTCAACCTTAGACCGGGAGAGTCAAAAACACCCATCAACCAACATGCACAGGGCCAACATAGTAAATTATGATCCCTAACCTTCAGCGAAGAGATCTTTGTCTTGCTATGGATTCCTATGGGCTGAAAGTAATAATTCTACCCCCCTCTCTCTCCCTCCCTCCCTCCCTCCCCACAATAGGGAAAAGAATGGGGCTAGCTTTAAGGACAGATAGATAAAATGCAGAATTGCTTGCTCATAATTTAATCTACTTAGAGTATACTGTTCTGTAAGAAAGCAATTGTATTTCTCACTCTTACATGGCACCTCTGGATGACTATCTCCATGCCTTGGAGAAGTTCTTCCATGACTTTCTTCAGTTCCAGTCCCTCAACTCACATGCAGGAACATAGTTTCCCATGGTAGAAATTTGCATGGAGCTGTCCTTGCTGAATTAGTAAGAGACAGAAGAACTGAGATGTAGGCAACAGGTTTTTTAGGGGTAGCGATATCTTGGGCCTCTTCATTTGCTTCAGCACCCTGAGTGGTTCCCTTTCTTTCTCACCACTGTATTTACAAACTCTAGTAATCTTTAACTGAACCATGGTTTGTTGAATTTAACCAGATGTCTAGGTTCATACAATATACTCAGCCATAAACCAGCCAACTGATTTTTCTCCTAGTATGTGGTGCAAACTTAACCTCTGCTGCTGTTCTCCCATAGTCCTATTTGCATACCTCCCAGTGGTCCAGTGGCTTGCTTATATCCCACTCCTTACATGCTTGGAGTCAACAGGAGAGTAGGCAGGGGCAGCAAGAAGAGGGAAAAAGAAACCCCAGAAATCATCTAAAGGCCTCCTCAACTGGTAGTGGCCACTGACATCAGCCCATATTTGTGATGTAATGTGGCATTTTCAAATAAAAGATACGGGGAGTCCTCATTTAGCAACCACTTCATTTAGCAATTGTTTGCAGTTACAATGGTGATTAAAAAGTAACTTAGTAACCAATCTTCTCATTTATGATTTTCATAGGTCTGTAAAGAAAAGTTGAAGTAAGATTGTAAGCACAGTTTTGGTTTCACTTAGCAACAACTTCGCTTAATAACCAAATTGTGGCTCCAATTGCGGTATTCAATTGCTAAATGAATACCTGTACTGTAATTTTCTTGCCAGGTTGTACCCTATCTCTCAAGTCTGTACAGTATCAAGCCCTGGCATATTCCTTCTCCCATGTTCTTCTCCTGTCCAACAGAGGGCACTGGGGTCAATAGTTGGGTTCTGCTGCTGCTTTCCATGGGATTTATGGCTACCAAAGAGAGACATGAGAAGGCTACTATAATGTCTGCTTATGAGTGAAAAGGTTTGGAGTCCCATAAACAATGTACAATGTCCACATGCTGTGGAAATTTCTATGGCCAATTTAAGTCCTACAAACCCTCCCATACTGTAGCCCTCCTACAACCTGCAGGAGGGACTTGTTCCCATACAAAATGTCTTTTCTCTCTTACCAAGATCTAGACTGCAAAAATCGAGATACCAATAAGTAGGGCTTTCTCTGGTGCATCTATTGGCCATCTAGATCTTGCAGTCGAGCTCTGGCAGCTCTATTATGTCAGCTCTGCTGGTATGAGGTCTGAGGTGTGGGAAGGATATGGTCAGAGAAGTATAATAATGCAGGAAAAAAGAAAAGTCGGACTCAGGTGTGCCATGGGGCAGAAGTTGATCTCCAGGAGATGCTGGTGGAGAGTCCCAGAAAGTCACATTCCAGGGGGCTGAGAATCTTTTATGTGGTGTCGGTCGCTCACCTTTTTTCAGGCATGTAGGTCAGCCTTCCATAATCTTTTGATTGACTGGGTTAGGGAAAAATGATGTAGATGAAGTTCAAAACTTTCCTCTTTGTGATTGTGATTTGTCATTTATGACACACCTCATATCCTCTAAGGTAGCATGTGATAGAAGGAAGATTGGTGGTAGCCAGAAACTGATCTTTCAAAGCCCCTTTTTTGCATTGGGTTCACACAGTGCAGATGTGGCTGGCTATTGATGGCTTGCTGTGTTGTATAAACAGCTAGTGAGGTTATTTAATGGTTTGGTTGGTGTGTTATATGAACCTAGACAAAATAAAAATTCTACAAAAAATTTATCTTCATTATATCAACATATACAGATTGGTTTTTGTTTTTTATTTTTAAATCAGTCTATAAGTAGATTCCTACTATCTTCTTCAGAGATTTATTTTTTGCTACCCATTTGAGTTCCAAGCATTGGATTCCCAGAAGTCTCCTATTCAAGTCCTCACCAGATCTGTCCCTGCTTATCTTTTTTAAAGATCAGCCGAAATCATCTAGTTCTGCTGTTTGCCTGTAGGTATCCAAACCAAGGTGATTAGATTAGTTTAGTAAGCTATTGTCAAGGTAATCATGGACCAGAAAGTTGTACAGAGATAATTACCCATAGGGATACAAGTAACCTGAGAACTACCTATTGCAATGGTTGATAGTTCTTCTACTGATGAGTAAGAGGTTGCTTTGTTTTTAAACCAACCAGGAGTACAAGTTAGCTGGGACTTCCAGTAGGTTCAAGTGATATTAGGAAAGAAAGCCAAAAGAAGATGCTCACCAGATATGGAGGCAGCCCAGGCAGGCAAAGAGAAAACCTGAGCATAAAGAGACTGGCACAGCACAGAGCAGTGAGATAATACGGTAGCACCAAAGGCGGGAGCTCTCAAAGGTGATGTCACTCCAAGTCCAAATCCGATCAAAGGTGCGGAATGAGGAAGGTTCTGCAAGGATGTCGGAGAATTCCAGCTACCAAGAAGAACGGGAATCTGGTTACTAAGGCTTCCTCACTGGATAGATTAAATTAGATTAGTCAGAGCAAAGAACCTGGACTCTAGTTATCTCTGTGTGTAGACATAGTCTTGTCAAGCTGTTCTGCAGAAGATAACCCATGAAGCAAGAAATACACAGACATTAAGGAATTTTAATGCAAGAATAAGCAGAGAATTTAGGCAACTGCAATACAAAAGCCCAGCCCTAATTTATTAAAAAGTTCATTATGGTGGAATTTCTTTGACTCTCTTCTTCCTGAGCATTAGCAGCCTGGACTGAACTGCTAGTAATGAGATAAATTACTAATACATTCCATTTCTTTCTCTGTTCATTATGTCTAATATCCCGCTTTCTTTCTGAGATTTCCCCATAAATGCAGGACCAAGTGTGTGTGTATGAAGAGAGAGAATGACTGACTACTGATGGACTTTGAGACATATTATAAGGAAATCAATCAGGAAAGACAGAACATTTGGGGCTGAAGTAGGGAAACATAAGTAAGCCTGAATTTCAAAAGTGGGAGGAGACTGGGTTTTAAAGAGAACATAGTTCCCTTGCTGGATGGCATGGCTTCTTACAGAGGTGTTCTTACATCTTGGACAGCCCAAACATGGTTATTCCTTGGTTCCCCTTCTTACCTTTAGATGTTGGTTGATCCCATGTGGATCTCGGGGATCAGTTTTGGGTGGTATGTCGACAGTGGATTGCAGGAGCGTAGTTTCTGGTTCTTGCAAATGAGGATCTTCTGGATCTAATTTATACTCCACCAAGTATTTATCACTGATCATCTTGAGAGTAGCTCAAGGCTTCTCGGACTATCGGATCCAGGGATGCTGTCAAGCACCTCCTAATACATGAATCTGTGACACTTTCCCTTTTTTTACAACACTATGTTTTATTCTGAAATTATCCTCCCTGTCTGTCTATCGTGCCGCCTCGCACTGTCTTTATTGCTATACGGGAATCTGACTCCAGTTCTATTCTCAGCTTCAGCCAACATAGATTGGAAGGAAAGGCCAGTCAAGGAGGGTGGATCTTGGCAATTGCACACCCCCACCTGGTATTTTCAGCTATGGGGCAAGCAAGCCACATGTATAGGGACAAGGGTTATAAATATGCCACTGTCCCAGTGATCTTTTGCTGGGAGACGGAAATGGGGGGAGGAAGGAAGGCCAGCTAAATATACACGAAGCCAGGCTATTCTTACAACTGGGATTAGGATGGGGTTCCATGGACTAGAGCAGAAGAATTCCAAGGCACAATAATTATGCTGATGCAGCCAAATGCGTTTCATCAATGTGGGGCGCCATCTAATGGCCACTGAACTCCTCATAGATTTACAGAGTAATGCGGAAGTGAAAAAAAGAGATGGTTTTATGCAGAAATTGCTCAATATTACTATTACATAGTAATAATTAGGAATACAGTAGTTCGCACGTTATCTGGATTCATGTACTGTGCAAAGCCTTAGTTTATTAAATAAACTACAATTGGCCAAGTTTACAAAGTGTGCTAAATCATACATTATGGCTTAAAGCTAGAATACTTAGGCTCGTACAATATGCTAAGCCAGAGCTCCCCAACCTTTCTGGCTTTGCGGCCTGGCCAGGAGTTGGGGAAGAGGGGATGGTTTCGTGCAAGCAGTGGGCAAGTGCACACTTGAGCTCCATTTGCACGCCCACCACTCAACACAAACGGAGTGCACACACATGTGGCTGTCCACTGATCACACAAGTGGGGATGCACACGCGCACCCACCCACCACTTTTGTGGCCTGGTTCTGAATGGCTCAAAACCTGGTAGAGGGCCACAGCTTGGGAGTTGGGGACCCCTGTGCTAAATTACATACAAATATACTACTATGATGTATAAACTATGTTGTCATGTGCAAGGGAGCTGTGGACAGTTATGGCTCTTTAGTGTATATACATGTGTTGGAAAGAAAATCCATCCGATTCAGTTCAAAGATGGGAGAAAGACACTGGAAATAAAATGGAGGCTGGAGGCTGATTGGAAAGAAAGATCCATTTATTGATGACCAGAACCACCAGGGATTGTGGTTCTGGATAGCTGACAAAATGGAGTTGAGAATGGGTGGATTTTTATACCTTCTGGATTCTTATGGGGTCATATAGGGGTCATGGCTGGCTCGATAGGCAAAAGGGGAAATGCAAATCCTAGGTGTTTGTCTGAGCTAATTTTGTCAACCTTTTGTTTGTTGCTTATCTGAGTTTCTGTCTTGACCCAGTCTTTCTGAATGGATTGCCAAATCTGCATTTCTAAAAGCTGGCCTCCTCAGTTTCTGCTTGGGGCAGGGAAACTGGGCTGGTTTCTGCCTCCCTTAAGATTTTTTCATTTCTCCTTTAGGGGAAATATTCTATCCTGCCTTTTTAATATCCCCCAAAATATTTCATTCTTCTGGGGGGGCGGGGCTTCCCACACAAAATCTATGTATATATTGCAATAGATGTAAACATACATATATGATTCCACACATCAGCCATTAACTATTTTTCACCCCCTTACAGATGGGGATTCAGAAAGAGGAGAAATATTTAGACAATAACATTATAAACACCAAGTACGACAATATGTATTCAGAGTTATTCATAACAGCAAGCATTAATACACCTAAACCTTCAGTTTCTAAAATTGATCCATTGTATTTATAACATTTTAGAATTCTCAACATCAGCTTCCCAATTGATTGGTTATGAATCTCTTATCTCTCTTTCTTTCTGTGTATATGTGTCTGCACACAAATGTACCCCAAATACTCTCTTTCATTAATAAACTTTTAAACAGAAACAATTCATCCATGATTTTCTATTGGTTTGGAAATTAACAAAGCCACCATATTATATTGAATAAAACATTTATTTCTTATAATCTAAATGCTGATCCTGTACTTGTTCTTACAATGTGGGCCAGTCACTATCCCTTTAATACAACCTATCTCACTGGGTGGTTGTTATAAGGGGAGACCTCCATGTCAGCTTAAACTCCTAAATAATGTTTTAAATAAATAAGGACAATAAATACACTGATTTACCTGCAGGAATGTGTAAAGAGGCCCCAGCCCCACTTGTAATACATAGAAATGTTATTTATGAAATTGCACACAACATAGACTTGAGTTGTTACTTACTAAGCAAGCATATAGGCTGCTTTTTCTTGGAGGAAGGAGTAATACTAAGAGAAGATCAGGATATGATAATATTTCTGCCATGTGACTTAAACTATTCTGCGGATCTGTTTCTCTCTAGCAAAGTTATGAAATCAAGTAAACTAAACCATGCTTTGTTCTAGTCCTACGTGCATATTTGCTTTGGCAATTGTAATTTGATTCAAAGCATCAGATTGACTCAGGTGCTTCCAAATTAGTTCATATGATTGCATGTGCCATGTAACTTTTCTGAACTGAACTGACTTTTTAAATTAGATTGATTTGGTGATTTAATTTGAAGCTTTGAATTTGCTTGACTTTGTAAATTGAATTTGCTCAACTACCGGTACATCCATTGAATTAACTTTTGAAGAAGGGCTTCAGAAGAGTAGAAATATTATGAGGGCAGTGACTTGAGGCTGCTTAAGGCCCCATCTTCTACTCATGTCTGTTGTGAGATTAGGCTGAAGTTGGCATAAGGTGAAAATGGAGCAGGTACAGAGGCTTAATTTATTTCCACTTCATACAGTGTCACAATACATACACATACAACTATGCCCTGAGGCCAGCATGGGAGGAATTGGGTATTTAATGGATTCTGCAGAATCCTTGAACTCTTTAAGAAAGAGCTACAGGAGAACATTTTAAAATAATATATTTGGGTTTAAGGGATCTATAAACTATTCTAAAGGGATCTAAAGATGGAAAAAGACATACAGTTCCTCATAATTCCAAACTCTTTCAAAGACCTCATTCAGGCACCCTCTGAGCATTAGGTTCATCCTGGGGCCTTCCTTCTCTGCAGGAAGCCATGTGATTTTTCACTGGACCTGTGAAGTTTTCCTTGCATGTTTTCCCCAGAAGGCAGCTGCCCTGCCCTCAGGAGCCGCCACTGCCTACAAAGCTTTCAGTTGGGCAATTCTTACCTTGTTCTCTCTCCCAATGAGAGAGAGGAGGCTGTTTTAAGTATGGAAAATGCCTCATAGTATACACTTGCTGCTGTGTTGTGGTTTTAAAAAGAAAGAGCTGCAAAGGCCTTGCATTTATGACACCTTGGCTCTACTGCTTGTTTCCAAGTTTATTTTTATTTTATTTTATTTTATTTTATTTTATTTTATTTTATTTTATTTTAATATCGCCCTTCTCCTGGGGGACTCAGGACGGTGTACAGCCGAGATAAAACATAGCATATAAAATTTAAAAACAGTTTAAAAAACAATTAAATAATTTTGGCCCAAAATTTAAAACAACCCAATTAAAACCGAATTCAATTAAAAATTGAATTCCAATTCCATAATTGAACTCAGTGATCTAATTACAATGGAGAACTTCAAAAGTCCACCTCTTTATTTAACCCCTACACTTTCTGGCTCACACGAGTTCTCTCACCTCATCTAATTGATGACTCTGAATCTGTTCTATTATTTTGGAATCCAAATCCTTTTCCTTTAGCTTGTGGGGTGTTCAAATTCTATTTCACATAGCAACACTGAAGCAGAATGCCAGCATAGTGACATGGTCTGCGTTAGGATTCAGATTCTAATTCTTCTTTAGGCATGGAAGTGGTCTTAGGTGGCCTTGTGCCAGCCATTCCCTCTTAGCCCAGATCAGCAGCAGGCTTTGTGACCAGCTGATTATATCCCCACGCCCTTGTTTACCATGTGAAATATGTGAGTGCAATGGAAAAATGAACCCTGCAACTGTATAATAGAGGTGCAAAGAAGAATAACAGCCGTGACATTGTAGTTTTTGATCTTACTCGCTCACTGGTTAATATTGAATCATATCAAGAGGCAGATACATTCCCATGGCATCTGCTACCTCCAATCAAGACAAACCATAGGCCAGTATGAAAGCCTTCTCACAAAATATATTGAAGCCAAGGCAATCTCCCTAAGAGCATATGTGGCTTATGGGCTATCTGCCCTCTTCAATGGAGCATTGAGACTGGAACAAACACCTACATTTGCTTCATGGTAGGGCACAGCCTCCATTTTTTAAATTTGGAAACCTAAGCATGGTGAGGAAGACATCTAACAAAATACTGGCTGGTTGCACACAGTACACCAAGCAATGTTATTCTATTTTTAAACTCTGATTTGTTAATCAAATAACAATAGCCAGATTGGCATGTAATGCTAAACCATAAACCAAACTTTACAATGATTCAAACTTTGTGCTACCTCAAAGCCAATCGAAAACATTATAGAACCGTGATGGCGAACCTATGGCATACATGCCACAAGTGGCACGCAGAGCCCTCTCTGCCAGCACGCCAGCTGTCACCCCAGCCCAGCTCTACCACACATGCATGCACGTCTTCCGGTGGCCAGCTGGTCTTTGGGTCCCTGCCGTGCATACACAGGGGTGGGGCGCATGCATGGGATGCCTGCGTGCATGTGCGTGGGATGCGTGTGCACATGCGCTGGGGTGCAGGAGGCTTTTCAGGCCCAAAATGGGGCACAGGCGGCCTTGCGCTGTGCCCCCACGCCCCGATTTGGGCATGGAAAGCCTCCTGCTCCAACCTGGAAATCAAAATGGGGCGCGTGTGTGTGTGTGTGTGTGTGTCTGGGGTGCATGCGCAGGAGACACGTATGCATGCACGGGTCTGGAGCGCATGCACGGGGGGCACTCACATTGCATTTTGGGGGTCTGGGCACGCTTGCGTGCATTTGTGTGTGTGCGCACTTTGGGCACCCGGCACCAGAAAGGTTAACCATCACTGTTATAGAGGAAATAGGATATTGGAAAAGGAAATAGTTTCCCTAGTACCTGCTCCAGTGTTGCCCCTGTAGCAGATTATCAGGGAATTCAGTCCTTGACAGACAGACAAACACCCCTCCCCCATCCATTCAGAAGCTTTGTCTTGCTGGTACTGCAGTCCTTTCTGACACAAGTTCTTTTCACTTAGCATTGCTGAGCAGAAATGTGTGCCTCTGCTGAACTGAGAGGCAGCTTTCCTGCTTGCAAGCTGCTGTCTCAGGAAAGAGTGTCTCGGCCCAGTGAGAAGCTGCCTGTGAGAATGGAGTCTTCATACAGGGAGCTGACTTGCCGGTGGGCCCATCTGGGGCAGAAGATTCGGCGCAGTTCGCTTGAGATGCTGTTGCTGAATGTGGCATAGACCCAGGGGTTTGTGCAGCTGTTGAGGCTGGCAACGAGCATCAGGAGAGTGAAAGCTGGGCCTGGAGTAAATAATAAGAATTAACAACTATTGGAGTTATCAACAGAAGTTAAGCTCATCAAAGCTTATCATGCAAGTTGTTCCGTAAAGGCAGACCCATCATCACTGAGGAACAAAAAACTGTGTTTGGGATTAAAATAAGAATTTCACATGAGAGTTTTTCTCTAGTCAAAAACTGGCAACCCAACCCAACCCTTGCTTAACTTCAGCTCTTTCCATATGGAAATGCAATGTGAAGTGATATAACATTATATATAAATAATATAATATCATGTAATATATAACATAGTCAAAATACACAGTAAAAGGCATGATTCACTGCATTTATTTGTTGCATGTATTGGTTGATTGGTGCTTAGTTCCATGTTCTGCTGAATTAATTCAGATAGTTTTGCATGAACATTTGATTGTATTGGATTGCAGAATAAGAAAACAACAGGATCAGGGGAGTGGCAAGCAAATTATGAAGGGAGGGCTGGGCAATTGGATCAACAGCTCTAGTAGGTAGTCAAACCAGAAAGAAAAGTCTCAGAGGAACCACAAAAATATAAGGGGAGAAAATAATATGACAGATAGACAGACAGACAGACAACATTAGCCTTGACATTCCAGCAGAATATGTTTGAGAGTTGATGGGGTGTTGTAGTTAAAGCGTTGGATTAGACTGGATAACTCTAGGTCAGCCTTCCTCTCTCTCTCATTAGGTTGTTACTACTGTAGAAATAAAATGAAGGAAACATCATCCCAGGATGGGAAGGAAAGAAGGAAGGAAGGAAGGAAGGAAGGAAGGAAGGAAGGAAGGAAGGAAGGAAGGAAGGAAGGAAGGTCCTATTCATAAAAACTGCCATGGGAATGAGCAGAAAGAGAAGGGCCCTCTCTTTTCCTAAGCTTTTTAATTGGATAAAAGAGCCTTCCTTAATCCAGTATCCCACAAATGAGTTGGATAAAGTTCCATCATTTGTCCTGATCAACATGGCAAAAGCCACCAGGTTGGGGGAATCTGAGACACAATCTGGTTAAAGTACTGTTACTGAATGCTGCATAACCTACCTTCAGTAGGTGCTTGAGGATCCCAAACAGCCCACAGTTGTACTAGGAAGAAGGGAGCCCAGCAGAATACATAGATGAGCACGATGACCAGGGTCATCTTAAGAGTCTTAGTTACGGCACCAGATATAGGGGAGGCCCTTTGTTGGCTCCCCCTACGAGCCAGGGCTGCTTCTGGCCCCAAACGCAGGCTTTGGTAGACCTCGCAGAAGATCATGCCTTGGCAGGTGGCAATGAAGAAGGTGGGAAGGAGGAAGACCATCAGAGTCACCCAGGTGACATAGGCCCGGGCTCCCCAGGGTTCAGCAAAGGCTGCCCAGCACTCATGGGCTCCACTGGGCAGTTCTGTTTTGGAGAAGATGAAAAGCTGTGGGAGGCTGAGAAGGAAGGATGCTATCCATGCCAATAGCACAGGTCGATGCCGTGAGGTTGTCCCTCTCCGAAAAGCTAGCATGGGCCGGCAAATGGCACGGTAGCGATCATAGGTCATGGCCACAATAACATAGGATGAGGCAAACATGCCGACCACCTGCAAGTAAGTGATGGAACGGCATAAGATGTCTGGGCCTTGGAAGCGATCAGTGATGTCCCAAATGAGCTGAGGGAGGACTTGGAAGAGGGCCACCGTCATATCGGCCAGGCAGAGGTGTTGGATAAATCGATGCATTGGGCTGGCCCGGCGACCCTGGCGGAGCAGAACTCCAAGCACCAGGGCATTGCTCAGAGTGGCCAGCAGGAAGATGGAAGCCAAAATGGCAATTTCAGCCTGAGCCAAAACATCATCACGGTCATCAGATGGAGGGAGAGAAGCATTGGGAGTGGGTTCCAGGAGCACAGAGGAAGCATTTGGCATTTGATCCTGTGAAAGGCACAAGGGGAAAAACAAAAAGGTCAGATCAACATGTGTCCATTTTCCCAACTTTCTCCAACCCCACAGCAAAAAAAAAATCATAAAATCAGGTATGACTGACTTAATGATTGCCTTGCTTAGCGACAGACGTTCTGGTCCTAATTATAGTTGCAAGTTGAGAACTACCTGTACTATATCCTCTGCTTTTAAAAGTATGTGTATGGTAATGTAGTACAGAAAGGACTGTGCATAGGAAATCCTTTATTTAAAAAAAAAAAAAGGAGATCCTTTATTTTTACAGTTGTAGTTACTTGGCCCCCACGGAGAGGGCTCGCAACTTGGGCATCCTCCTGGATTCACGGCTGTCTTTAGAAGAGCACTTGACGGCCGTGACCAGGAGGATTTCTTATCAGGTTCGCCTGATTCGCCAGTTGCGTCCCTTTCTGGATCGGGACTCGTTACGCACGGTCACTCATGCCCTCGTCACCTCCCGCCTGGACTATTGTAATGCTCTCTACATGGGACTCCCTTTGAGGAGCACCCGGAGGCTCCAACTGGTGCAGAGTGCGGCCGCGTGGGTGGTAATGGGAGCGTCATGGCGCTCCCATGTAACACCTCTCCTGCGCGAGCTGCACTGGCTCCCGGTGGTCTTCCGGGTGCGCTTCAAGGTTTTGGTTACCACCTTTAAAGCGCTCCATGGTTTAGGACCTGGTTATCTACGGGACCGCCTACTACCGCCAATAGCCTCCCACCGGCCAGTACGCTCTCATAGAGAGGGACTCCTCCGGGTGCCGTCAGCCAAACAGTGTCGGCTGGCGGCCCCTAGGGGGAGAGCCTTCTCTGTGGGGGCACCTACCGTCTGGAATGAGCTCCCCCCGGAGATACGGAGGATCCTGGATCTGCGCACCTTCCGCCGCGCTGTGAAGACCTTTTTATTCCATCAGGCGGGCTTGGCCTAATCTCTTCCCTCTTTTTAATATGTAAATTTTAATCTGTTTTTAAATTATTGGGGTGTTTTAATCTGTCTGGGCCAAAATGATTTAATTTGATTTTATCTGGTTTTTAAATTTTTTGTATCTATGTATTTTATTGTTTGGCTGTTCACCGCCCTGAGTCCTTCGGGAGTAGGGCGGTATACAAATCAACTAAACTAAACTAAACTAAACTAAACTTATTGGTGGCACCATGACAGTAGGGGTCTGGCAACCCCCCGGGCATCTTTTCAGATTAACTGAAACCCCGAGACTTAATTGACTTTTTTTAAAAAATGATTTTTATATTTTGGGCCAAAATATAATTAATTATATTTTGGTGCCGGTATACTGGTTTCAGTCCTCCATAACAAAGAGCTAAAGATTGGGCAATTTGGTTTATATTAGCTATTCGCATCGCTATAATAAGTAGGTAAATGCAACAGATAAAATTGTTATGGTGGGCGGAAGGAATTTAGATTTTTTCAAGCCATGGAACCCGCTAATGAGAAAAAAAGATTCTCAGAACCCCTGATGAAGAGGCAAGGCTACAGTGACTGAAAATTGGCAGTGTTCTTTTTTTTTCTTCCTGCCTTTAGTCTCTCACAAAATCTCATCAACCTTTTACAAAATTGTAACATTATACACAACAACTCTGAATTAAGCTGTTTCCTTCAAGTCTCACTGTTCTTCTTTCAAAGCATCTATCTCAAAGTTGGCAGAAGGTAGATAGAAATCTTCTATGGTGTTTGGTACATTTCTAACAGTTGGATCTTTTAACAATAATAACAGCATGATCTCTCCACCCATCCTGAATAAATCTGCCAAAATGAAGAAAATGGCATTGAGCAGAGCTGGATAAATCAGAGTGTATGTTGTATTGAAAGCCTATGAACGCCATTCAGTTTTGATCCACAATAATTTTGGGTTGCTTTGTGAGGATTGAAAAAGAACAGAAGGAAACTCAGAATACCAGAACAACAGATTTGGGAGGGACCTTGGAGGTCTTCTAGTCCAGCCCCTACTCAAGGAGAAAACACTATACGATTTCAGACAAATGGTTGTCCAATTTCTTCTTTAAAATTTCTAGTGTTGTAGCATCCAGTTTCTGGAGGCAAGTCGTTCCACTGATTAGCTGTTCTAACTGCCACTTAATGCTAATTTAAATCAGAATTTGAGGATGAGTACAGGAAGGGAACAGACAGACAGAGGGCAACATGTAAAGTCCAGGTTTAAGCCTGCTGCCTTGAGGTTTTCCATACTCAAATCCTTACCTTATCATTCATAATTGGAGCATCAGTCGGCAAGTGGCTTCAACCAATAAATCTTACTCTGCCAGCTGGCAGTTTCTTTACAGATTGCACTCAGGGCAGAAGAGAGGAATTGGCCTGCTCAGAGAGGTGAGGAAGAAATCTGAAGAAAACTAGGAATTTTCTCCTGGTCCTTTATGAAGAAGTTGCTTCACCACCTTCTTAATGAGATTCAGTGAAATGTAGAGCTTTCAATAACCACAATCAAGGAGGTGGGACCCCGGAAAGAAGGGGGTGGGAGTAAGGTCTTTTCCCCACCCTCAGGCAACTCTGCTGGTAGAAGTTAATTTGCTGACTTGACTGGATGCCAAATACAGTGGCTTTACAAAGACTTTCCCAAGAGTGAATGAAAACTTTCAGGAAAGAGGAGGAGAAGGAAGTAGCAATAGTTCAGATTGGGTATCAACAGTTCTCCCCTCCTCCACTGCATCCCCCCAATTCTGGATCTTGCAGTTTTCAAATCAAGAATGTGTTAACCTGCAGCATCATGATTTATATATTACAATCCAGGTCTTGAAATCAAGGTATTTTCTGTTCCAGGTGCTTCAATTGGTAGACTCCACTCCTTCCCGTGGCAAGACCGGGACAGTTTATTAACAACTACAACTTCCATCGGCATGGATTAGGTAATTGTTTCTGATGGATTGTTTGCTTAACTCAGCATAGCGAATTTCAGAGATAAGATACCCCTCCTCCCCCTGTCATCTTCAGTATTTACCATGCAACTATAAAGATATAGAAGTTAAAAAGAAGAGAAAATCAAATCAGCAAGGCATGGTTGGTCTAGTTAGAGCTCCAAACACTTGAGTTATTAAAGCATTTCTTTCTTTCCTGATTTAGTTAGACATTATCAGATGAGGCAACATGGGGCAGATAGATCTTAATATGTTTGTTGTTGTTAGTCGCGACTCGCGAAGTTATGTGCGACCCATTGCGAACCCATGGACTGTTAGGTGTTTTGTGCCAGCCATGGCAGTCTCTTCAAAGGCCACCAGATGGCAGCAAAGAGGCACCTTTGATCCCACTGGTAGGTCAAGGGGCTCCAGCCCCTGCAGCCCCATTGGGGAGAGTTAATGGTCCTCCGGCCCCCTCACACATTGGTAAGGGAGGGGCCAGGGGCCCCTATAAGAACTCCTGCACAGGGGTTGCTCTTCCCTGCTCTCCCTGCTTTCCCTGCTCTTGTTCTACTCTCCTATGGGACTGACCCATGGGTTCAATCCAGACATGGATGCCTCCATGCCTGGGAATTTATTTTACTCTACTTTTACTTCTAAATAAAGACTTAATTTGATTGCATCCTTGCGTGCTGACCTTTTCTTGGAAGCGCCCTCAACGAACCATCATTCTTCGTGAGATCCCTCACATGGACAATGTTCCTCCAGGCCTTCCTGTCCTCTACCATCCCCCGTAGTCCATTTAAGATCAAACCAACTGCTTCAGTGACTCCATCCAACCACCTCCTTCTCTGTTGTCCTTTTCTTCTTTTGCCCTCAATCTTTCCCAGCATTAGGCTCTTCTCCAGTGAGTCCTTCCTTCTCATTAGATAGCCAAAGTATTTGAGTTGATCTGGCCTTCTAAAGAGCAGTCTTAATATTACACCTGGCCTAAAAACTCACCTCCAGTTACATTTGCCAAATGCAGATTCCTGTATTCATGCCTATTTGCTTTTTCAGTGGGAAATACAAAACGAAGTGATGTGGACACTTTCATTGCTGGTTTAGAGTTTTATTTGTGAAGGTGAACCTCACATCCTGAAATACAACACATTGAAGTCCTTCTGTCGAGCCCAAAAGCAAGGCTGTTCTAGAGTATAGGTGGTCCTTGACTTACAACAGTTCGTTTAGTGACCATTCAAAGTTGTAATGGCAATGAAAAAATGATTTATGACTTTTTCACATGACTGTTGCAGCATCCCCCTGGTCATATGGTCAAAATTTGGACATTGACTCATATTTATGACAGTTGCTGTTTCCTGGGCTCAAGTGATCCCCTTCTGCAAACTTCTGTCAAGCAAAGTCAATGGGGAAGCCAGATTCACTTAACGAATGTGTTGCTAACTTAATAACTGCAGTTGTATGTTGTATGTAATCAGAATTAATATATTGTAACATACGTAACACTGTAAGGTTGCTAAAAACACACTTCTGCTGAACAATCAACTGACAAATACAGAAACCAATTACCCTAGCAAGAATGATAAAACAAAGAAACCATTTGACCACACTTCCTCAAATTCACAAATAAGCTGCACAGGCACCATTTACACAACAAAGAAGAAAGCCTACAGATATAAGGAAGGACAATTAAGGCAAAGCCGCAAACATAAGGAAGGACTATTAGGGCTAACCTTTGGGCAAAATCATACACCAGAATGAACACGTACACATCCATGCTGCACAAACTCTATACAAAAGACCACTCCCCTATAAAACAACCCCTTTGTACCTCATTTTTTCTGCAGCTACCTCCAGGAGTGAATCATTTTTTGCTTTTGAGACTAAATGGATCACCTCCTTTTTACAGCAGAGTGCCTTGGGCTGGTGATGGCGAACCTATGGCATGGGTGCCACAAGTAGCGCGTGGAGCCATATCTGAGGGCACACGAGCATTGCCCTAGCTCAGCTCCGGGCCCAACCGGAAGTTGGGAAGTGGGCTATTTTCGGCTTCTGGAAGGCCTGCAAAGGGGTTGAGGAGGGCCGTTTTTGCCCTCCCCAGGCTCCTAGAAAGCCTCTGGAGCCTGGGGAGAGTGAAAAATGGGCCCACTGTGCCATTGCGTGCCAAAAGCGGGAGGAGCGTGCGGGGAGCACGTGCATGGGAGGGCGGGACATGAGTGGGCATTGAATTATGGGTGTGGGCACGCACGTGCATGATCCCCCCGCTTTCCCCCCACTTTTGGCACACGACAGCAAAAAGGTTAGGTATCACTGGCCTTGGGACTTATTTGCAGAACCTGGCTTAGATTGGGACCCGAAATTCTTCTAACATTTGGACTGGACCGAAGAAGGAGTGGGGGTTAAGTAAGCCATTATTATCTTTTCCATCTTAACATTAGCTTGCAACATACAACACTGCAAAGAACTTTGAACACCTCGAAGCTCTATGTAGACCAGTCTTGCCCAGTCTGATATCATATCTATTGGAGGGTACTCTAAAATTAGCAGCTCCAACTCAGTGGTGAAATCCAAATTTTTTTACTACTGTAAAAAATGGTGTTTTTTTAGCATCTGTGGGCGTGGCTTGGTGGGCATGGCTTGGTGGGCATGGCAGGGGAAGGATACTGCAAAATCCCCATTCCCTCCCCACTCCTGGGGGAAGGATACTGCAAAATCTCCATTCCCACCCCACTCTGGGGCCAGCCAGAGGTGGTATTTGCCGGTTCTCCGAACTACTCAAAATTTCCGCTACCAGTTCTCAGAACCTGTCAGAACCTGCTGGATTTCAGCCCTGCTCCAACTTATCTGATCCAGGCAGTGCTTTTATTATTATTAGTCTTATTGGTAATTTACATGGTGAGAAATTCTGTTTGGAAGCTGAAAGACCTAGTCTTTTAATAAGAGGAACTTTCAAATGATGACCTTCTACAACTGAATAGATTCTAGAACTGAAGGCCCTCCAGCTATTCTTAGAATGTCTCTCCATTCATTAAAAACTGAGTGGGATTGCCTGGATCTTGAGTCCAACAATAGATAAGAGACCCAGAGATCCAGTATGCTACAGACATAGTGGAAAAAATTATTTTCTCAGGTCACAAATGGAAGACAAGCTACTTGAAATACAATTTGCCCAATATAATTTTTATCTGTACTGTGCTGCTATTTTGTTAGCATATTATACAAACGAAGTTATAGTGTTTTTTAAAATCTAAGGCTATGGTTTTATTGCATTGCGTGAACTAACTAAAGTTTATTTAAGATTAAGGTGACCAGACGTCCCCGCTTTTGAACAATTTGTCCCGCGTCCCACGGCGTTTTAAAAAAGTCCCGATTTTTGGAAAGAATGCACGACAAGCTAGGGAACAGCGCAGTGGTGGGTTGCTCCCGGCTGCCTCCTGAGTCCCAGCTGATGGCTAGAGGGAAAAAAACTGTTTAAACTCTTGCTGCGGGGCTTCAAAGGGCCGCCCTACAGCTGATCAATGTTAAAAGAAAACAAATGAATAGACCGATGCCTGCAAAAATAGAAAAACAGCCCCTTAAAAGCTTCAGCATAGGTTAATTAGCACAAGTTGATTAGATTGGCTTCCCGACTCTCAGCTGATTTGCTCTCAGTTGTTTTGCTCAGGGCTCTGTAGTTGCTAGCTGCAGAGTGCTGGAGATTTTTTTCCCCTAACTATGCTGAAAAAGCGAAACTGAAAGTAAAGCAGGGTCTGCTGCAACGTGGCAAAATGAGGCAGAGAGAGATTTCTTTTTCTTTTTCCTTACCAAAAAAGGTAGGTGCAAAACTGCAAACAATAGGAAATTTAGGGCAAAAGAGGAGAGTTCAAGATTTTAAAACACAAAAGAAAAAAAGCTCTATTTAACTAGGGAATTGTAATAATTGAGATACTATTAATTGTATATTGTGTTGAAAGCAGAAATGGTTAAGTTGTGGTTTGGAGGAATATATGGGGGAAATTATTTGGTTTATTATTATTGGTAAATATAATTAATTGATTTGTAAGAAATTGGATTGCATGCAAATAATTGGAATATTCATGTTCATATTGATTAATATACAAAAAGATAGTTATATAACTAATTGATTTATATTAAAATGTTGAATTTGTATTAAACAACTGTATTACATAATTACATAATTAATCAATGTGAGGATGGATATAAAAATAGATGACAACGGGAAGGGGTATAATATAGAATAGAAGGGAAAAATTGAATTTGATTAAGATTAGAGATGAGGATGAAGGGTAATATTGGTTTTTTTTAAAAAATAGATGAGAAATAAATATGGCAAAAAGGAAATATAGAAATTGTAAATTTAATTGAAATGACTAAACACTGTTTAAATTTGTGAACCAGCCAAATAGTCTGTTCAAAGAAAATACATTGTATGTTTGTATGTGTGTTTCTAATTATTGCTATTTATTCGTATTTGTTCTCTTTTATTCTTTAAAGTTTAACAATTCATTCTTAATCTTAATATCTTTATATTTGTTTGGGGTTGGCTTTCTTCCCTTTCATCTTTTTTTTTGTACAGCAATCTTTCTCCTCATTCTTCTTTCCTTCTTACTTTCTCTTCCCCCCTTCTTCTCCTCCCTACTTCCTCTTCCTTTCTCCTTCTCCTCTCTTCCTCCCTCTCTTACCCTCACTCCTACTCTAATTTCCCTTCCCTTCCTTCATCCCTCTGTATTGCTGTATCCTTTTATGCATATGGACTACTCAGAGGGCTGAAAAAGTTATTTTTGACTGGTCTGGTCCTCATACTTTTGACCAGTCCTCGAACTTACGACTGTCTCACATTTTACATTTTTGCCCTATCTTGTCATCATGGTGAAGAGAAGCAGTTGTGAAATGAGTGACATGGTTGTTAAGAATGCTGCACGGGCATAAATGTGAGGATGGTCATAAGTGTGAGGACCAGTCAAAAGTGTGAGGACCTGTCAGAAATGACTTTTTTCTATACACATAGCCATGGCCACCCGGTCACATGACCAGCTAGCCACGCCCACCCAGTCACATGACCTCCAAGCCACGCCCACAAAATAGTGGGTGTCCCGCTTTACCAATGTTAAAATCTGGTCACCTTATTTAAGATACTTATTCTACGTGTGTCCTATAGAAAGAATTATTTTGACACTGATAGGGGAAACATTTTTTCAAATTAAATCAAGATCCCTGCAGTTATAAACCTCATGTAACAGGTAGACATTCCACAGAGGAAGTCCTTCTGATTATTCCACTCTGTTCTAGAGTGGTAGATTTCCTTATTCATTCACACAGGCACTAGGTAACAAAAGCAAGAGGTTCTGCCAAGAGAGAAAAAGTATTTTTATTCACTTCTGATGTTTCTATTAATTTTTTCCTGGCAGAATTCTCATCAAAGCAGACAGAACACATGTTTTCATATCACCACATCTTTAGTGGGAGAAATGTCATTACTGAATGTAAAAGATGCAGGAACCTAGCCAGGATAGGTGAAATATTTCTTGAACTTCCATCGCATGCTGGTCGTGTTCCAGGTTCTCTGTAGGCTCACCCTGAGTTCTTGATTGCAACTGGGTAGATGCTGGGGGAGGAGTGGAGTAGGCAGCCAGCCAGTGTGTATGTTCCCTCTTTATCTGAAGAACATAAATGCTGCAAATCATAGTTCTGGCCAACTGGCAGAAGGAGCCCATTCAGGAAATTGAACAGCTAGCCAACCCATTCCAACTCTTCAGCTCTTAACCCCTAATATGCCAAAATTCCTTCTGCCTTATCTAACTTACATGACTTCATAGGGACCCAAGAGGTTCCCCCCTCCCCAATTTTCAGAAGTTTATTTGGCTTATTTTTCTATATGTGAGATAGCAGGAATTTCAAAATATGGTAGGGCCAAGACTAAATGGGCTTAATTAACATGCTTTTTAAACAGAGAAAAAAAAACATACAGATTTTCCAAATCCAAGTTTCTAGTTTTGCCCACTTTGAACATCTGACCCCCTTCTGCTAGGTGTATCAAAAGGTTGCCTACTCATTTGGTAACTGCAGTAAATAGAATCATTTCCCTGCCATTCTTCTTTTTCAGAAGTACCAAATGATATTGCAAAAAAAAAAAGAAAATAGAAAAAACCCCAGGAATGAGAAAATCAGCTTCTCCAGATACCATCCTGGTTTAATCTAGTTTTGCCTCCCCAAAAGCTGAATGGATTTAATTGCTGCTTTCAAAGGGGGAGGAGTTAAGAACTAGTCTGGATCAGTGGTGAAATTCAAATTTTTTTACTACCGGTTCTGCGGGCATTGCTTGGTGGACGTGGTGTGGCTTGGTGAGTGTGGCAGGGGAAGGATACTGCAAAATCCCCATTCCCTCCCCACTCCTGGGGGAAGGATATTGCAAAATCTCCATTTCCACCGCACTCTGGTACCAGCCAGAGGTAGTATTTGCTGGTTCTCTGAACTACTCAAAATTTCCGCTACCAGTTCTCCAGAACCTGACAGAACCTGCTGGATTTCACCCCTGATCTGGATTCTGTTCTAATAGTTGACCTATTCTGGAATAAATGTAATTGATTCTTATTCATAGCATTATAGATCTTTTGGTAATGGAATTGTTCCCCACTAGGGGGAGCCAGATGCTTCAGATCATTGTTTCTCAAACTTGACAACTTTAAGAGTGTCATCTTCAATTCCCAGAATGCCCCAGCCAGTTCTCTAGGGAATTTTGGGAATTCAAATCCACATATTTTAAAATTGTCAAGTTTGGGAAACACTGCTTTAGATGCCGTTTGCCTCTATATCCAAGATGTGTCTCTATATGTCAGTCCCAAAGGTGCTTTTTCAAGAGGCACCTGGACTTTGTTTTTCTTTGAAGACATTTTGCTTCTCATCCAAGAAGCTTCTTCAGTTCTGACTGGATGGTGGGGAATGGAAGGATTTATATTCCTTGAAGACAGGTGGTTATTTGAATTCTTTTAGAGCCATTGAGGCCACCTGGAGGTTTATCTGTGTCCTCAGGGTCACCTGAGTAGTGCAAATGGGTACGGAGCCTTCTTGGATGACTGAGAATCTCCATTGACACTCTCTCTACATGTTACTGCCTCCATAGAATTCTGAGGACCCGGTGGCATGACAAGTCCTCTCCAGAGCAGGCCTGCCATCAGTTCACACCCTGCTGATGAAAGCCCAGACAGCTGGGCAGGCCATGTTGCAAGGATGCCAGACCATCGCATCCCTAAACAGCTCCTCTATGGTGAGCTGTCTCAAGGAAAGCGATCGCATGGGGGACAAAGGAAGCGATATAGACACCAGTGGTGAAATCTAAAATTTATTACCACCGGTTCTGTGGGCGTGGCTTGGGGGTGGGGGTAATGTGACTGGGTGGGCATGGCCAATTTTTTTTTTTTACTTTTAAAACCATTTTTTCTACAACCTGTTCGGCGAAGAGGTTGTAAAAAAATGCTTTCAAAAGGCTCTGACGATCCCAGCTGAGTTGCCTGATCGGCAGAGGCTTTTTTTCTTTTAAAAGCCTTTGACAATCCTAGCTGAGCCGTGCGATCATCACAAGCTTTTTTTTTTTTACTTTTAAAAGCATTTTTTCGGCCGAAGAGGTTGTAGAAAAAATGCTTTTAAAAGTTAAAAAAAAAAGCCTCTGATGATTGTGCGGCTCAGCTGGACATGGGGGCGGGCAGGGATTTTTGCTACCGGTTCTCCGAACCACCCGCCTCCATCGCTACCGGATCAGGCGAACCGGTCCAAACCAGGAGCATTTCACCTCTGAAAGACACGTTGAAAGCCTCCTTCAATTCCCTGGATATCGACACCACCTCTTGGGAAACCCTGGCACAAGATCGATCGACATGGCACATGTTGATCCACTAAAGCTGCCAGACATCTAAGGACAGAAGAACAACCATTGAACAACCATAGCACAAGAGAAGTGAGCATTCCCCAAAGCCAGAGCTGCAAATGCTTCAACAATGATGCCCACATGTCTGCTTGACATGTGGCAGAATGTTTCATGCTCGTATAGACCTTACCAGCCACCTGCGGACACATCGTGGACAGCCCACAACCTGTTAGATGTCAAGGTCCTCTTCGAACCCAATGGACGAACATCATCATCTAATGGGGGGGGGGGGAATCCTAAGAAACTTTTTCTTTCTCCTGTGTCCTGATGAGGTTGCCTTCATTTGATCTCCATTCCCTACCTAAGGTAGCTTTTAATCATCTTTAGTTGTTCTAATATATTGTCTTAAGAGATGAGATCAGCTCAGTGGCGGGTTGCCCCCGGTTCAGACCGGTTTGCAAGAACCGGTAGTAAAACTGGCGGGAGACTCTGCCCACTGACCCCAACGTCATCATAGGTCATCTGCGCATGCGCGGGCACGATACAAATTGGTAGTAAAGGTAAGTAGAACCCACCCCTGGATCAGCTCAACATCCATTGACCACTTCGGTTTGCTTCAGCCAGGCCATTTCCTCTGGGCCCCTGGGCGCTGTGTTTCAGCACCATTTTAGTTAGAATTCCTTTGAATGTGAAACACTTGCACAGAATGTGTTTTGGCAAGAGCTCATCCCTTCTCTACAGTCCCATCCCACATTAAGGAGAATGATTGGAGGCATTTTGACTGCTGATGTTTGAAGATAGGAAAACAAGTCCAGGGGACTCCACTAATCCCTGCCTTTAATATGCCTTGCATATTGTAAATAAGGACATCCCATTTGCCTTCAGAGGATTTGGATTGCCAGTGGAGGCAGCAAATTACATAGCAGATCTGAGACTCTGGTGTAGTTATAAGAATACTTTGAAGACCAACAGGAAAGCTATATACATCTTACTATTATGGTTATCTACAAGAGACTGTTCCTCTTTACAGCATATGGGATCCATCTTGTTTCACATATTCACTGGCACTTGTGGGTACGACCTTGAAGATTACAGGAGATGGGTTTTGGATGGGATATGAGAGTTTCCTCCCCCCCCCCCATAGGATCCTCATTGTAAACACAGTTTGGACTTCTGCAAGGTAGACTTACACATTCTTGCTGGTTAATGATAACAGCCTCCTCTTTTCCCACCTGAATTAACTTCCAGATTATCTGTTTATGGAAGAAAACAGTTGAAGAAAAAAAGATCAGGAAAATTGGGGTAATTGGGGGGATAAATTGTAAACAGAATAATATTGAAAAGGTACCACCTTGCCTTCCCCTGCAAACATACCACCTCTGACATTATTGAATAATAGGATAAACATGTTGGGACAAAGGCATGTGCCTCCTACCTTGCAGTTTTACCCTTGGTTGCAATACAGAAATGTAGATAGCAGTTTTCTAGAAGTTATGAGAGACTTTTAGCCTTCAGACAAGATCTGTAGATTTCAGGAGTCTGCCTAGGTCATGGAGGCCTGGCCACTGACTATTGTCAGCTTCACCGATCACCCGGAATCTCCATTAAAATTGTTTCCTCATTTTTTAGCCCTTTTAATCTTTCAGTGATCTCACTTGCTGCATGCTGGCTGCCCTATGAGGTTACTCATTTCTCATATTATCTACAAGCTGAAAGACTTTTAGTATATATAAAGCAATTAGCAAGAGAGAGATATAACTAGAACTACACACTTCAAATCATTAATGATGATGATAGATGTGGTCATTTCTGCTTGGGGGAAGAATTTGATTGGCCTTAGTTGATTCTTGTTCATGGAGAATTGCTCTCCATACATTGTCCTCATGTGGTATGGCTCCAGGGAAGGGGGCTCCAGCCAGATTCCATTGGCTTAATACAGATGTTTTGTGATCAGTTTTCCTAACCCTATTGTAGTCCTTCCCCTGATCCTTATGCCTGGATTTGGGTATACTTTTAAGCTGCTCAATGATCTTATTGTAGATGAGAGCTTGGAAGTGGGTTGATTCCCCTTGAGTTATTAAATAGAAAAGGATGTTTCCCCAGTAATTCGAAAAATTCTACAATGTGCAGAAATGGATAAGATGAGCTGGAAATTAAGGAGAGGGAAGAGTCAGAATATTATAGAGTGTGGAATAAACTATATGACTGGTTAGAAAAAAGAAATCAAAATAACATTTTGGAATGTTAATTTAACTGGGTTAAAACTAGGAAGTGTAAATTGATGAACAGTGTCAACCGCTGGATAATGATAGTTTTGTAAATAGATACTAATGTAGATATAAGTACGTAGATGAAAAATTGAATAAGAATAGAGTATACATATCCATGTCGATACAGTAAGCTGTAAAATAATATATGATGTAATGTTATGTTTGTTAGGTGTTTTTAATGTTTTTTGTTGTATTTTTCTTTACGTTGTTTTTAAAACTTAAAAACTTAATAAAAATTATTTTTAAAAAAAGAAAAAAGAAAAGGATGTTTCCCAAGTTGTTTGTTTTAATTAGATAATTGTGGCAGCATGGTGCCAGACTCAGAGGACTCTGAGCACTTTACACCATAAAATATATATAAAAAATAAGAGCATAAAATAAAAGCACAAAGCTGCCATAAAACAATAAGCATAATAGTGACCGTTCACTTCCCCAAGGCCCTCTGGAACAATCATGTCTGGAAGAATAGCAGTTAAATTGTCAATCTAATCTCTAGAGGGTCCATTCCGTAAAATGGCACTGCAACTGAAGAACAGTGGCTGTAAACCTAAGGCCCCTTCCCTTGCATGGAGAACCATTGAAAGATATTGGTGGCAGGTCTGCACTGGGCAAACTGAGTGGGCTGCCTCCGTGCAGAGAAGGTATCTGCAAGCACCTCCCTTGGGCCAAGCTACCCCATAATCCCACAGAGACATCTAAATATAAGGAAGATGGGAGAAACCTGCAAAACAGTCCTACAAGTAGCTTCAGCTCCTTAAAATTGTGTTTTCACACATGAGGATGAATATTAATAGACAGGAAGCTTTCAATATTTGGCGGTGCTGGTTGGGAATGCTGGGAATTGCAGTTTAATGCACCTAGCTGGTACCAGGCTGGGCAAAAACTGGTAAAAATCTTTCTTTGGGGTCTGTTATGAACATATGATGCATTTACCAGGGAAAGCATATTGGATGAGGGATGTTATGGCTAAAGAGTTGTATAGACACAAAGTGGCCCCTTAATTATGAGGAACTATTGTGAAACTCTCTAGGAAATAAAGCACAGTGAGATTAGAAGGTGGACATGGGAAGTTTATGGATCCAAGAATAGCATTGGCAGCTACCTCCATCGTTCTGATAAACTTATCCTTTTTCTCCCTATTAGGCTGATTGCTATCAGAAATACCAGAGGGGAGGAGTAAATACTTGCTAGCTGTGCCCACAAGCTGTCTCTCCTGATTTACTGGCCAGCTCCTCCGGATCCCCAGCAGGCTTTCTGGGACAATGGATAGAGAATTCCTCTAAGCTTATGCTGCTGAGTTTTGTATAGCATTCCTAACTGCGTATCAGTTCTCCAGTGAGCTGCAGGAGGGGCCAGACCTGCTACAGGGATAGTTGTATCCAGCAATTTTTAAGAGGGAAACCCACAGGTGTGGCAGCAGAGGATAGGGCCCAGGATCTATGGGGAGTACTTGCCCAAACTAGCCAAGAGAAGTTAGGCTGTCCCTGCCTATATGGGTCATCTGGCTGCACATCTGGGGAAAAAAAAGATTGCCAAAGAACATTGGACTTTATTTTGCCATGGACTGCTGCCAGTTGCAGAGGGAAAACACTACACTCCAACCCAGACCATCTAAGGACAATGTAAGACTGATTCACTCATGAACGAAGGATGAGATGAAGACAACATCACGAGGGCCACAGCTGAATAAGGAGGTTGCTAGGATATATTTGTACTGTGTTTGGAGGCATGAGGAGAAAGGCCTTTCCTCAGTATTCTTAAAATGTTCTCTTCCTATTCTTGAATCAACAGAGGCTGCCTCCATCAGCCCAACAAAATTACCTCATTTCTTCTTCTTAGGCTATTAAAAAATGGTCAGTTAGGAAACACTTGAATGGAAAAACCTCTGGCCCAGTGATGAAATGTAAAATTTGTTACTATCGGTTCTGTGGGTGTGGCTTGGTGGTGGTGGTGTAATATGACTGAGTGGGCGTGGTCAACTTTTTTTTAAACTTTTAAAACCATTTTTTCTACAACCTCTGTCTGAAGAGGTTGTAAAAAAATGCTTTTAAAAGCCTCTGACGATCCCAGCTGACTTGCCTGATCGGCAGAGGCTTTTCTTTTTTTTTAAAGCCTCTGACGATCCCAGCTGACTTGCCTGATCGTCAGAGACTTTTCTTTTTTTAAAAAAAACCTCTGACGATTCCAGCTGACTTGCCTGATCAGCAGAGGCTTTTCTTTTTTTTTTAAGCCTCTGACGATCCCAGCTGACTTGCTTGATCGGCAGAGGCTTTGTTTTTACTTTTAAAAGCCTTTTTTTTGGCCAAAGAGGTTGTAGAAAAAATGCTTTTAAAAATAAAATAAAAAGCCTCTGATGATTGCGCAGCTCAGCTGGGCATGGGGGTGGGGAGGGATTTTTGCTACCGGTTCTCTGAACCACCCGCCGCCATCGTTACTGGATTGGGTGATCTGGTCCCAACTGGGAGCATTTCACCCCTGCTCTGGCCCCACTCCTGCCACGTGCATGTAATGTTTGGCCTGGCTGAAGAGAAGCTGGCCCAGAGAATCTGGCCTTTTCCAATATGTTGAGTTAAAGTGCTTCTCATTAGAACCAGCAGAGAATTATTGGCTTGAAATGCATAGCTCCTCCCCCTAAAATAGCCATCCAGTCTCTACTTCTAGTTACTGCCAGTGACTTGATTTCCCTCCAAGGGCAATGGATAATGAAGCCTAACAGTTTATAATCCTTGAGGTTGCCCACAGGTGAATAGGTGGGAAAAGGCTGCTTTAGAACACTGTTTTAGTTTCTAAAGTTAGTTTCTACCCTTATAATGGCTATTTGGTTTGGCTTTATCCATTCTCGGTATTCCAGAATTTCTTGGAGATTTCTTCAGCCAAGTGTTTGCCCAATATGATCAGTACAACTCCTAGAATTTCTTCCCAAAGGGGGGAAACTCTGGGAAAAATATGGTAGCTGAAAAGTCAGTTTGAAGGAGAAAAGTTTGGGGAAAGCTGGTAATTTAATAGCACAGATATTGCTAGGCATCCAAAAGAGCCTATAGTTTTGCTTTTGTTTTGCTCTGAATTTTATCTCTGGGGAGATTTTTGTTGTTGTTGTTCTGAAAATTACCAGCAGAGGCCTGTTGGTATAATCTAATTAACAATGTCTGCTGTTGGCTAATTTCCTGCTTAATTTTCTCCAAAAGCAACAGATAAGCCTAGGCAAACATCTGCTTAACAATGCAGTATTGATTTCTTCTCCCTTATCTTTTTCTCTCCAATCTTCTTCCCTTTCCTTTGCTCTGAACACCCTCATCTGACAAAGCATTCCTTAAAATTGGAAAGTCTGCAGCCACAGTCCGACATGATATGTGATATGTACAATAAATTCTGTACTACATTTTCAGAGATGAAAAGAAGCCATGCTTTTGCTGTTGTAGCACCTGTACAATCTTCTCATTCCCTACACATCTATTTATATGCTGTAAAGGTTTTGCTCTGCCTGTTGTCCATTAAAACTACTAAGAACCAGCCCTACCATTTGGCAGAATGAGGAAAGTCTCAGGCAGGAGATAGACAGTTCCAAGAATCTCTCTATTTTGGAGAGTAAAATAATCATCTAAAATTAGTTTCCTGTTGTCAGTTGCTATAGAGAATCTGTTCCCTCATCTTTGTAAAAGTACTGTACGTTTTCTACATGATAGTGTGTGTGTGGGTGAGTGAGTGGGGAGGTTTAATTATGAGCAATTCTAAATAGACCAGCCTTCTATTTAGGAATGTCTCTCTTAGTAAATAGACAGTAGTAAACTAGGTGAATCAACACTCTGAGCATGGACTTGTTTTCCAGCCAAATTGAGTATATTGGTCATATCCAATATTTCTTAAAATAACCATATTATGTTTCTGCTGTGGAATATGCCACAAAGAACAAATCAAATACCGTGTTTCCCCGAAAATACGACCTACCCCAAAAACAAGCCCTAGACTGATTTTCATGCCTGCGCCTAATATAAGCCCTACCCCAAAATAAGCCCTAGTTAAGCCCTGCCCATCGTCTGGTTGTACGAGGTGGGGCAAGGTACAGGTGTAAAAATAAAGCTAAGGTGGGGGGGGTGTTGAGCTGCTCCCCGTGCCCTGCACCTGCTTAGTTAGGATTGCCCCATCCAGGCCTCCCATACCCCAACACCTGCTTGCCACTGCCCAATTTCTTCTGCCGCCACTTGCAGCTGGACATGACATGGCGCATTGCGCCAGTGCTGTCACTTGCACATGCAATGGTACAACATGCCATGCAGCTTCCTGCTGTAAGTGGTGGCACCAGCGTGATAAGCCAGCTGGCATCTGGATATGAGTGGTTGCAAGCGGCCACAGAAGAAGTCAGGCAGCACTGCAACAGGTGTCGGGGCGTGGGAGGCCTGGCTACAGTGGTCCTAACGTAAGCGAGTAAGACATCCCCCCAAAATAAGACCTGGTGCTTATTTTGGGGCTGAAAAGAAAATAAGACTGGGCCGTATTATTGGGGAAACATGATATAAAAGAAAAATCTGGAATACTTAATGTCGAGTAGTGTGCACTATAGGTACTCCTCAATTTATGACCACAATTGAGCCCAAAACTTATGTTGCTAAGTGAAACATTTGTAAAGTGAGTTTCCCTCCATTTTACAACCTTTCTTGCCACAGTTGTTGTGGTGAATTATATTTTATTTTGCATAGTTCCCTTAAAGTCATCTACAATAGGCAGCTAGAGAGGGTCACCAGGGTCAAGTTTACTGAATTCTGTTCCGGTAAATGACTGTTGGGTGAATTGCCATGGCAGTTGTTGCAGCCATTTTGTGAAGAGGTAACTGCCCCATGGCAGCCATTTTGTGACAAAAGTGCTTAATGATTAAAATTTCCAAGATGGCCTCTTGATCCTATTATTTGCCTACATGTACCTTATTTCTTGGTTGCATGTTATTGCAGTGATTTTGACCTGACTTCAATCTTATCAGTCACAAAATAGACTGCACAGCTTTTGATAGACTATGACTGTTTTTAAAGTCACCATTTGATGGATTTTATCCCTGAAACAGCGTAAAAGGCACATGATTTCTGCCTTACTCCTAGGTATATTTTGGCTTGATGGAACTGGAAATGAATGTGGGACTCTGTACAGTATTCTGCAATACTAGTTACACTTATGCCAATCCCTTTTGCAACATTGCAGCTAAATATACCAATCTGATTGTATGGAGTGGGCTTGGATCATAGATTGGTTAGTTGTCAATGGTAAGTAAAGTCTGAGAAGTTGTTTATAGTGTTGGCCTGTGGGTTATTTCAATCATGGAAGAAGCATCTTTTTCCTTGAACCAACAGGTTCATTCAGTGGTGGGTTGCCCTCAATTCAGACCAGTTTGCAAAAACCAGTAGTAAAACCCGTGGGAGGCTCTGCCCACTGACCCAGACGTCATCATAGGTGATCTGCGCACGCGCAATGCAAACCAGTAGTAAAGGTAAGTAGAACCCACCCCTGGGTTCATTGCTTGATTTAGATAGAATTGTGATGTTTTGTAATGGTAATGTTTTCTTCTCGTGGAATTAATTATTGCATGTGGTTCAAAGTATATAGAGATGTTGCAAGCCTGGGTGAACTGGCCTGTGGTCTTCTCTGCTGGTTTGCAGACATTCAATCTAAGCTCTTTGGCTGTTGCCTCTTGAAATAGGCTTGTAAAAAGCCAACTGTTCCCTGATGGCTTATACTGCTAGTGCAGAAAATATGTTCTGATTGTCCTATCTTATATATTTATATAGCTGCCCATGGGGCAGCATGTAACATTAAAAATCCTCAGTTAAAAATTCACAATTTAACCCTCCCCTCTATTATTTTGTAATCTATAAAATATTCATCGATAATATACATTTTGGAGTCTGCATATAGTCTATGTGCGTTTCAGGTTTTCAGAAATAACTGATAGAAAGCCCAGAGGAGCTGATCTTTTTTTAATGTGCTGTATTGTGCATTTCCACTAGAAGGCAGCATACGTCAGCAGAAAAAGGAAGGGTGTGCTGTTGCAGAATTCCCAGCAGGGCCCCAATCGCCTCCCTTCCACCTACCCCCTCCTATCTCATTGATGCTGTTCTCTGCATCTCTTGTCCAGCTGCCATCTCTCTCCCCATGGCCTTGTAAATCACAGCAGTCCAGTTGTCTACCAAGTATAAAATAATTCAATCTATAAGCACCCAGGAGCAAGAGGCAAGGAACCAGAAAGATCATGCAAGAGTGGGGAGGGGAAAGGGAGCTGTGGATGAGACAAGCAACATCTCAGCTCATGGCTAGGGATTTGAGAGAGAGGCAGAAAAAAGGGTGGGCTGGGAAAGAAGGCATTGTACCTGGGGTTGTGGTGGGGTGTTATCAAAAAGAAAAATGTATATTGGAGAGATACCCATAGCTGAAGTAGAACCACAATTAAAAATATATATATTAACATGGCTATCCATCTTGAAATACAGACCCTGGGAGGGTAGCTAAGAATGAAAAGCAGAATAAAAACAATAATTAAAATTTAAAAACCATAAAAGAGCAGTCGAGAACACTAAGCATTCCCCAATCAATACAACCAAGAGTGTGGGGATGGGAAAATTGTATCAGTATTAATTATAGAAAAGCTCTTCTACATGCTCTATTTTTTTCTTAAGACATCATCAGTCATTAGTGTAATATCACAGAGTAGAGCTGGCCAACCCGATGGACAAGGATGTGTGCAGTATCCCTTCTGTAGAAAACTGGTTACCAGAGCTCATTATTCCCAAAAGTTAGGTTCCACAAGTGACTCCCTCAGTTGTTAAGTGAAGACACATGACTACATTCAGGAGAAGCCCTTGGAGAAATGCTCATTTTCCCCCTGCCATCAAACCAAGTGAGGTACAAGGGTAGCCAAACTCTGATTCCCCCAAACAGCAGGTAGCATGAGCTAATCAGGCAATGTGAAGAGCTGGCATAAGGGCCACTCAACCATGCTTTGATTTTGGATTTGCCCAAGTCCATATGTTGCTTCTCTTTTGGGAAAAAAAAACACAACCCATGGGGGCAGGGGGAGTCCACAGCATCTTATGTTTCTTTTCTCATTGCCCCTCACTGGCAAGGGTTAGTTAGATTTATTTTTGAATATATTTACATTGATTTATATTAAAAAAAAACATTAGCTGCATTTCTTACAATTTACACAAGATGGGATCATGCTTCAAATATGTTATAGAATGCAGATGGCATGCAATTTAAGTATTTCCTATTAAAGAAAGAATAGAGAGAGGGTAAAGTTGTAAAGTCCCACCCTTGCCAAATTGCCCGTCCTCTTCTTAAAAAGGCCAAGATGACAATGAAAGGCAGAAATGAATGAAAGAGATCAATAGCCATCAGTAAAAAGATGTTCAGTAAAAGGATTAATTTTTCCTATGTACTTCTCAAGTCTGGTCTATCTAGATACAGACATACATAGACATTAAGTATAGGGCATGGCATTATTATTCTTGAATGGACTTTGTAGTGTTTCCATGATCATGATGAGGGTTGCCTGCTCCTCTTTCAAGTTGATTCACAGCTAGAGCCAGGGGGCAGAGGAAATCTGCAGGACTTTTCTGAGCAATTGGACCTGTCAGATTGGATTAGTTGCTTGTGCTGCCCGGCTCAGGCACCCACCAGACAAGCAGAGAGTGGCCCAGCTGGGTAGAGTCTCTCTCTATCAGCTGAAAACAACTTGTCCAAGGAATAGAGCTGACATGCCATATACACCAGGCCAAGCTGGGGGAATGATGATAGGACCACCCTTCTAGGTGCTGCTATTGAGGTTCAGGGTGAGTAGGGAGCATTAAGCAACCTAACTTGCATACGCTCCCTTGGGTGAGATGCATGTTCAATTATTTATTTTTATTGAATTCATATTCTGCCCTTCCCTCCGAGCGCTCAGGTGGTGTATCTAGTAATCCCAATTTTGCCTGATAGAAATTGCCCTGCAAGGTAGGCTGGGCTGATAATGCCTGACTCAATGTCACCAGTGAGCATGATCAGAGGTGGATTTGAACAGTGGTCCTCCTGATTCAGATTCCAACATGGTAACCCCTACATCATAGGGGCTGTTTTAAAAGGGACTCCGTGATGGGAGTTCTCCTGCCCTGCCAAATGCACAGCAGAAAGATTTGCAACACTTTGGAAGATGGGGATGCCTTGCCAGCAACTCTCTCCTATGCTGATCACGCTAGCCATTTTCTGAAGGTAGGTGTGCACATGCCATTTTAATGCACTAACAGTACAGAGTATACCACTTAAGACTGGAGGAGATGAGGAAGGATTGCAGTTATTAATGCTCTTTTAAACAAAGAAGCAACTCCCCCTCCCCAAGGAGCCAAGTAGCAGAACAAGAGCAGACTGCACTAATTTTCTTCACGAGGTGCTAATCACTAATCAGCTTCTCTGCTTTTATGGAAGATGATACTCACTTTCTGCACATCTAGAATACACAGTATTTCAACCGTTCATCACCTTGTCTTATAAAAATGCAATAATTAATTGCGTTGATGAGCTTTCTTTGGCTGATATCATCCTGTGCTCATGTTCCACCTCTCAATTCATGCGGGTATGTGGTATCTGATGATCTCAAATATGTTGTGTTTTTTCTGTGCAGAATAAAACTTCCTGTGCTACGATTGCCCATTTGTGATACCAGGAAAACTATATTGATTATTGGTATGAACATTGCATCCATAAACAGCTTTATGCTATAGTTCGTTTGATTTTATGGTGTGCACATTGCACTAAGCCCTACAACCTAGGGTACAAACTACTGTGAATAAATTCACACAGCATGTGAAACTGAACCAATTATATTATGACTCAATGCAATGCATGATTCATGTTTCTGGAGCTCAGCCATACTTAGTACAGTCTAGGTCAGGGATGGGCAAATGTGGCTCTTTTACAACCTGTGGACTTCAACTCCCAGAATTCCTGAGACAGCTTTGGCTGTCTGGGAATTGAAGTCCACAGTCTGGGAGTTGAAGTCCACAGGTTGTAAAAGAGCCACATTTGCCCACCCCTGGTCTAGGTGAATTGGGCTCCCATTCCCAAAATCTATAACATTCAGACTTATTGAAATTAAGAAAAAAATATTATTGTTTGAAGTAATGCTCCTGGTTAGAAGAGCTTGATGTACCTGAACATAGTGGTGGGATTCTGCCGGTTCTAGGGGGTTCGGCCGAACCCTTTGTTAAATTGCTGACTCACCCCGCCCCTTGCCCCACCCCTCCGCACCACTATTTATTGCCAATAAATAGTGGTGGACGAGGGGCGGGTGAACCAGCAATTTAACAAACGGTTCAGTGTTTTTTTGTAATTTTATTGGCCTGCAGAGCTTCAGCATAGGCTAATTAGCCCCTTGATTCTATCGGCCTCCCGACTCTCAGCTGATTTGCTCTCAGCTGTTTTGCTCAGGGCTCTGCTGCTTGCTTGCAAAGAGTGCAGATTTTTTTCCCCTATCTATGCTGAAAAACAAAACTGAAAGTAAAAGCCTGCTTTACCATTGCTGCAACGTTGGAAAATTAGGCAGGCAGATTTCTTTCCTTTTTCCTCACCAAAAAAGGTAGGTGCAAACTACCTTTAGTGGAAAGGTAGTTTTCCCTAAAGAGGTAGTTCCTCTTTAGGGAAAAAGAGGAGAGTTCAAGATTTTAAAACGCACAAGAAAAAAAGCTCTATTTAAATAGGGAATTGTAATAATTGAGATACTATTAATTGTATATTGTGTTGAAAGCAGAAATGGTTAAATTGTGGTTTGGAGGAATATATGGGGGAAATTATTTGGTTTATTATTATTGGTAAATATAATTAATTGATTTGTAAGAAATTGGATTGCATGGAAATAATTGGAATATTCATGTTCATATTGATTAATATACAAAAAAGATAGTTATATAACTAATTGATTTATATTAAAATGTTGAATTTATATTAAACAACTGTAATATTACATAATTAATCAATGTGAGGATGGATATAAAAATAGATGACAATGAGAAGGGGTATAATATAGAATAGAAGGGAAAAATTGAATTTGATTAAGATTAGAGATGAGGATGAAGGGTAATATTGTTTTTTTTAAAAAAAATAGATAAGGAATAAATATGGCAAAAAGGAAATAAAGAAATTGTAAATTTAATTGAAATGACTAAACACTGTTTAAATTTGTGAACTGGCCAAATACTCTGTTCAAAGAAAATACATTGTATGTTTGTATGTGTGTTTATAATTACTGCTATTTATTCGTATTTATTCTCTTTTATTCTTTAAAGTTTAACAATTCATTCTTTATCTTAATATCTTTATATTTGTTTGGGGTTGCCTTTCTTCCATTTCATCTTTTTTACTGTAGAGCAATCTTTCTCCTCAAACCTACCACCTCTCTCTTTTCTTTCCTTCTTACTTTCTCTTCCCCCCTCTTCTCCTCCTCCTCTCTTTCTCCTGCTC